CTGTTGCCTTAGGAGGTCCTGGAACTCCTTTATATAAAAGGTCAGGTTCAGCTAGGTTAGCATCAAAAGAATCTCACAGTCCTACTGTTCAGCTGGCCCCCAGATGTGTAGATTCACTAGGAAATGTTACACCATTGCTGGTGTGCTGTGTGGGTGTGCCTGAGATGACTGTCTTCTGAACGTGAAGAAGCGTTAGACTGTTTCCTAAAGAATATGGTACAACTATGTGTGTAACATTCATATTATTTTGGGGAAGTATATGTGAGGTTACCAATACATTTCTTATAACATTTGTTTATTTTGTGTGTGTGTGTGATAGTGTGCAGTGGCATGTGCATGCGGAGGTCAGAGATGTGGGACATTTATTTTTTTTTTGCCCGCTCTGTCATTTTATAAAAGGATGCCTTGTGGGTGTAGAGGTGCTTGCTGCCAAGCCTGACAGCTTGAGTTCAATCCAAGCATCCTCGTCTCGAAAGGAAAGAAGTAACTCCGATAAGAACCCCTCTAACCTTCATACATGTGCCATGGATGTGATTGAGCATGCACACTTCAGTAGTTTAAAGGGACTTGAGGGCTGGAGAGAGAGCTCAGAGGTTAAGAGCACTGCTTGCTCTTCCAAAGGTCCTGAGTTCCAATCCCAGCAACCACATGGTGGCTCACAACCATCTGTAATGAGATCTGGTGCCCTCTTCTGGCCTGCAGGAATATGTGCAGATAGAACACTGTATACATAATAAATAAATAAACCTTTAAAAAAAAAATAAAGGGACTTGAACATGTACTTTTGGTATCCATTGGGAAGGGGTCTTGGAACCAATCCCCTGGGGATAACTAGAGTGACTTTTGTAACTCAGGACCAGGATTTGGCTGGCATTGCTCATTTAGTATTGACCCTTACTTATGTGAAGCTGTCAAAGCCACAGATTTGGTACATTCCTGTCCTTGGCTGAAATACGTTTCATCCTTTTGTAGATTTTAAGAAATTCAGAGGTTGGCAAGTTGAAAAGGGAACTGGGCGGTGGTGGTGCACGCCTTTAATCCCAGCACTCAGGAGGCAGAGGCAGGCGGATCTCTGAATTCAAGGCCAGCCTGGTCTACAGAGCAAGTTCCAGGATAGGCAGGCTCCAAAGCTACACAGAGAAACCCTGTCTGGAGTTGGGGGGGGGGGGGCGGGTTAAAAGAGAAAAGGGACTAGAGAGATGGCCCAGCAATTAAGAGAACTGACTGATGTTCCAGAAGACACGGATTCAATTCCCAGGCCATCTGGTTTCTGATCACACCAGGCTAAAAAAAAAAAAAAAAAAGGACCCACGTGACCCCTCTCATTTTCCTTAAAAGCTGGGCGGTGGTTGCACACACCTTTAATCCCAGCATTTGGGAGGCAGAGCCAGCTAGATCTCTGTGAGTTTGAGGCTAGGACAGGCACCAAAACTACACAGAAAAACCCTGCCTCGTAAAAAAAATAAAAGGGGGAATGGGGGGAAAGAGAGCACTGGCTTTTCTAGAGGACCTGGGTTTGATTTCCAGCATCCCTATGGCAGCTTAAAACCATCTGTAACTCTAGTCCCAAGGGGATTGGCCTCTGAGGTCACTGCATGCACATGATGCAGACATATATTCGAGTATTTATACACATAAAATAAAAATAAAATGTAAAATTATTAAGAATTAGAGAAAGCTGGGTATGATAGCACATGCCTTTAATTCCAACGCTTAAGCAGAGGCAGGTAAATCTTTGTGAGTTCTAGGCCAACCTGACGTACATCTCAGGTTTCAGATCAGCAGGGTTACGTGGAGATCCCGTCCCAAGGGAAAAAAATATTTTTTTCCTGCCTGGCCTTGTTTGTTGGAAGTGTTTCCCACTCTCTGGAGTCGGCCTACTGGCTTCTCTGTCTCTAGGCTGGTGTCAGCTGTCAGCCCCAGCATGTCCCCCTTGGAAGCGGCTTCACTTGTGCTCACAGCTCTTCCTTCATTTCCTGAAAGCTGGCTGGCTGCTCTTGACTCAGCACAGTGTCTTTTGGTGGTGGAGGTGGGGTTTTTGTTTGTTTGTTTGTTTGTTTTCTTCTTCGAGACAGGGTTTCTCTGTGAAACAGTCCTGACTGTCCTTGAACTCACTCTGTAGACCAAGCTGGCCTTGAACTCACAGAGCTCCACCTGCCTCTGCCTCTTGAGTTGCTGGGATTAAAGGTGTGCGCCTCCACCGCCCAGCGTTGGTGTTTTTTAGTTGATACTTGCTAATTGTCCATATTTATGAAGGATAATGTGATAATTTGATACATGGATTCTAACATGTAATTAGGGTAATTGACATTTCCTTCTCTTTAAAAAATTTATTCTTTGGTGGCAACGTGTATTCCTGCTTTTCCTTTTTCTATTCCACTATTCTTATTAGTTATTAATTTTTACATGTAGCGCCAGCTGACTTGCAACTGTTTACATAGACCAGGCTAGCTTGGAACTCACAGAGGTTTGTCTACTTCTACCTTCTGAGTGCTTAGATTAAAGATGTTTCCACAAGCAGCCCAATTATTATTGTATACATGCGTATGCCTGTGCATGCATACCGGTGTGTGTGTGTGTGTGTGTTTAGGTCGGTCAGTCAGCATATAACTTTTGTGTCATCGGGTCTCTCCTTCCACTTTACATGGGCTCCATTGATCAACCTAGGTCCTGCCGGGTGGTGGTGGCGCATGCCATTAATCCCAGCAACTCAGGAGGCAGAGGCAGGAGGATCTCTGAGTTCAAGGACAGCCTGGTCTACAGAGTGAGTTCAAGGACAGTCAGGACTGTTTCACAGAGAAACCCTGTCTCAAAAAACCTAAGGGGGTAGTGGGTGGGAAACTGGGTTCCTAGGCCTGTGCAGAAGGTCCCTTCCCTGCAGAGCCATCGCTCCGGCCCGCCACCGTTCTCTGTGTCCCCTACCTCCCTTGTGTAGGGGAATCAAACCCAGGGCCTCACACATACCAGACAGGTGCTAAGCCACCCCTCCAGCCTCACACTCCTTATCTACCTCCGTGGAGGGTCTTTCCTGGTCTAGGCAGCTGCCCTTAACCAAGCATACTGCCAATGAAGCCTTCCAGAGTGAGGTGATCAGATTAGGAAACTAGATTTTGAACTGAATTGTAGTTGCTTTACTTTGTTTTTTCTGCTTTAATTTTTTTTGGGGGAGTGGGGGACGACAAAGTTCTAGAACAACCGGAGCTCTTACATAGAGAAACCTTGAGGGAGAAAAAAAATGTGTGTGCAAGTGCCTACCAAGGCATGAAGATGGCATTGGGTCTCTTGGAGCTGGAATTACAGTCATTTGCAAGCTGCCTGAGTGCTAGGATCCAAATTCCAGTCCTCAGGATTGAGCAAGAAGCACTCATGACCACTGAGCCACTGCTCCAGTCCGTTAACCATCCCCCCCCCACCCCCCCCCACCCCCGTGTGTGTGTGTGTGTGTGTGTGTGTGTGTGTGTGTGTGTGTGTGTGTGTGTGTGTGTGTGTCTCCGTTTGTGTCTCCATTCCTTTAATCCCAGCACTTGGGAGGCAGAGGCAGTCAGATCTGTGAGTTGAGGCCAGCCTGGTCTACAGAGTGAGCTCCAGGATAGCTGGGACTACACAGAGACTCTTTCTTAGAAAAGGAAAAATAAATAAATAATAATAGAGAATAGATAAATAATAAAAGAATAAAATGAAAAGTCAAGAGGGTTGGAGAGATGGCTTAGGAAGCATGAAGAGCTGAGTGTGGATCTCCAAACCACACAAAAATTGCAGGTGGGTGCTGGCCTGCCTGTAACCCTAGCACTCATGAACTGGAGTCAGGGACTGCTTAGGTAGCCAGACTGTCAGAAGGAGTAGATCTGGGTTCAGTAAGAGACCCTGCCTCAATTTATATGGTGGAGAGTGATCAAAGAAGACACTCCAACTCATCACACACATACACACACGCACACACATGCACATACCACACCTGGCCAGAACTCCTTTTTAAAACTGGTAATGTGTTTGAAGAGTGCTGTTTTCTCTTCCTGTGGATCCAATTCAGTTCCCAACCACCTAGAACTCCAACTCCAGGGGTCCAGTTCTCTCTTCTGGCCTCCAAGGGCACACCTGCACATGCACACAATCTGTTACAGTTTTTATTTGTTGTTTGTTTTGTGTTTTTTAAGACTGGTAATTCTTAATTCCTTGATTCTTTCTGCCCAGCCCATCATGTATATAACCCAATGAGACACCCTGTTCTTTAGTCTTGGTGAGATTTGTGTGGTATTGATCCAGGTATCATCTAATATGCAAAGACTGATTCTAGGCCAGGTGTGGTGGTGCATCCTATAATCCTAGATAGACAGGAGGCTGAAGGAGGAGGATCACCATTTGGAGGCCAGCTTGAACTGTTGAGTTGTTCAGGTTCCTGCCAGACTGAAATCTTTTCAAGCTGTGTAGAATTGCAGTTCATACATGTGTTAATTGGAAATCTGAAAGAAAAAACAAAAACAAACAAAAAAACCTTTTTTTCAAGGAAAATGGATGTAAGTGATGAAAGGGAACAATTAATGATAACATGGCTGTTTTCAAGCTTATGAGTGATTTGCTGTTGTGTGGCCATAGGTACATCTCTTTTCCATAGCTTCATTTCTCTTCAAAGTGAAATACCAATTCTGGTTTCTTGAAGTTTGGCAAACGTTTTATGACTCAATGAGATGCACATAAATTTTGTCATAAACATTAAAAATTGTGTTTTGGGGTGGGCCATACTGCTCGGTGGTTGTTTCTATTCATCTGTTATTTTTAGAGAGTGTTTCAGTAAGTAGTCCACACTGGCCTTAGCCTCTAGCTTCCTGAGTGCTGAGATTACAGCCCAGTGCCACTTTGTCTGGTCTAGACATTGAGATCATGACTTAATTCCCAACTATGTGGTCAGGTGCTAGACACCAGAATTCCATCAACTACTCTGCTCCATTACTAGCATTCAGTAGTTATTCCCAGGTGTGATGTGGTGCTCTGTCTCTTTTCAGGTAGAATGGAAGAGTCTCACTTCAATTCTAACCCATACTTCTGGCCTTCTATCCCCACAGTCTCAGGGCAGGTAAGTGGTGTGTGTTTTATTCTCCCAGTATTCATTTCAGCTCTGAGAAGTGAGTTCTTCGTGATGTTTCTACTGTGTGGAGGCTGAAGCAAAGTAAAACACACCTTGTTCCACTGAATCCATTATCACTGAGAGTTCTGTAGTGTTTGGCTCTGGCTCCTGTCCAGAAACAGATAATCAACTCCTTGTTCCTTGATCTCCAAGGAGAAGACAATGGAACGTCCTTATGGAGCAGACAAAAATCAGGCTTGCTCAGTCTGAAGAGGGTACTCCTCTTCCCCTCCTTTTCTTTTAGATTGAAAATACAATGTTCATCAACAAGATGAAGGATCAGCTATTGCCAGAAAAGGGCTGTGGACTGGCGCCACCTCACTATCCCACTTTGCTGACAGTGCCTGCCTCAGTGTCTCTGTCCTCTGGCATTAGCATGGACACAGAGTCCAAGTCAGAACAGCTGACCCCACACAGTCAGGCATCTGTCACCCAGAACATTACTGTGGTCCCTGTACCATCTACAGGACTGATGACTGCAGGTAAGCACCCTTGCTTCTCTCCAATCTGAGGTGTTGATCTCTCCTGATCAGTACCCCAGTCTGGAGGGCTCTGAGGACATGGGGAGTGGGGGTATGTGTTTAATTCCTCAATCAGATTTTTATTAAGTGCCTACTGTGTACCTAGCAATGTGCTAGGCATTGTGGGGGATACAAAGAAGTAGAAGATGCGGTCCCTGCCTTTGAGGAGGTGACATTCTTTCCTTCTCTGAATCAAGGAGTCTCCTGTTCTCAGAGGTGGAGAAGAGAAGGGAGTCAATCAAGGGGTAAATTTCACTGTTACCAGGGGGGCTGGGGACAGGGGTTAGGAAACCATTATTTTTGTACAGGGTTTGGGAGTTCCTGTATCGTAGTGGGCTGGAGGGTGGTGGTGAGGGGTTAATTAGACAACTATCTGGGGGAAATGAAATAGATTAGGTCAGAGGTGAACAGCATGACCCCATCTCCTTTTTCTGCCAATCCTAGGTCCTGGTTTGGTAATCACATCCCCCTCAGGCTCTCTTGTGACCACAGCCTCATCAGCTCAGACCTTCCCTATTTCGGCTCCCATGATTGTCTCAGCTCTTCCCCCTGGCTCACAAGCCCTGCAGGTGGTCCCTGACCTCTCTAAGAAGGTAGCATCAACCCTAACTGAGGAAGGAGGCGGAGGTGGTGGTGGAGGTGGCAATGTGGCTCCTCCTAAACCTCCTCGAGGCCGCAAGAAGAAGCGGATGCTGGAATCAGGGCTTCCTGAGATGAATGACCCTTACGTCCTTGCCCCCGATGACGATGACCATCAGAAAGATGGCAAGACCTACAGGTAGGACTCAAAGTCAGGGGCACGATGGGTTTGAGGGTCGCTGTTTCGAGCCTCCCCTATCTTCTTTGGGTCCTGCCCCAAGTCGGGCTCTGCTCTCAGCAGCTGTCCACCTGAGCGCCACTTGCATGTCCAGGTGCCCTGTGCTCTGATAGGGAGGTGCAGCTGCAGCCCTCGCAGCTGTTAGACCCCTCGTTCCACTGCCCCTTTGAAAACTCAGCTTGCCATGCTCCTTAACGGATTTTTGAGTGACAGGAGAGTTTCTCTCTTGTAATAAAGCTTCAGACTGGGCTCCAATGTCTGCAGCTCCCTTTTTCCTTTCTGTTTCTTATTTTCAAGAAATCTTTCTGGTAAGCACCTTAGCTAACCCTGTGCCACCCGCCAGCTCTTGGGGTGTGTTGAGCACTGAGCCCATTACCATTAGCCCCTGCATGGTTGGGATGGGAGGAATAGTATTCTTATAAAATGACTTGTTTGCTCACTTTCCAATTCACGGAAGTCATTTTGATCCTCCACTTTCTCTTCCATTGTCCCCTCCAAAAGAGCCTATGCATATTTGCATGTGGCACTGTGTACAGAGAAATCCTTGCCCTTTGAACGTTGAAACAACCTTGAATCTCATTGAGAGCTGTCAGGGTCCCTAGTGGGTTTTGGAGACTTGGTCCCAATGTGCACAATGGGTTATTTATCACAGCTTTGACATATATAGACAGGGGCAGATTTGCATGGCTGGGAGACTGGTTCTGTCCTTAGTGTACCGAGATGGGCAATGTTGTTCCCATTTTAGGAGCGAAGGGAACTGCGGCACAGGAAATGGACAGAGCCTTGGGCTCATGGATTCAGTTCCCGGCTCCACCACGAACTTGCTGTGTGACCCTGGGCAAGTCCTTTTCCCCTCTCTGCGCCTCAGTTTCCTCATCTGTAAAATGGGGAGAATTCTTTGTATGCCTCCCATTTGTTGGGAGTATAGATAATCTTTAAAATGTTGGGAAGTTCAGAAAGATGAGAGCTAATCATTACTTAGCATTATTTACTTGAATTGTATAGTTCTATGGAGAGTATCCACAAGTACACTGTTTAAATACCTCTTTCTAAGTGAAAAAGAGGGCGGTGTTGCTATGCAGAATATATTGAGCACTGCAGAATTCCAGCTGTAATTCAGAAGTTCATTGTAGCTTTATTATTACAGGTGTACCCCACTTTATACAATAAGTGTTCCTGGAAAATGTTTACATCATACCATATTATAAAGGTACCTGACAAGTTTGATTCATTTAAAGGCATTCTTTTATTATATCAGTTGAAATGAAAATCCCTTTTAACTTGTGTAGATACCTGGATTTTTTTTTTTTTTTTTTTAATGTATTTGCTTAAAGCGAGGTCATTGTGACATGAGATGCATTTATATGACATGTTGAAGTAGTGGAGGCAGCCCTTCTGGTTGACTAGGGCCCTTAATTCTGCCAGTTCATTTTTCTCTCCACACTAAAATGATTCTGAATTTCCCAACTATGTGTGAATATTTACATGTATATGTGTAAAGAATTGTGAACACCCAGTTGGAAGGAAGCCTTCTAGGACATTCTACCTTCAGTGTTTTTGAAATTCTTGAAAGCCTCCACACTCGATTAAAGGGAACCCTGAAATTGTTCTGTGACTAATTATATCCTAGTTAAAAAATATTCCTTCAGAAACCTAAAATTCTAAAGTCCAAAGGAATCTTCTAAATCACAAAGAATTCTGGCTTTCTTTCTTATTGTGCAGTTGAACTTAAAAAATAATCCTGAAGCTGGGCAGTGGTGGTACACACCTTTAGTCCCAGCACTCGGGAGGCAGAGACAGGAGGATCTCTGAGTTCAAGCCCAGCCTGGTCAACAGAGTGAATTCCAGGACAGCCAGGGCTGTTACACAGAGAAACCCTGTCTCAAACAAAAACAAAAAAAAGAATCCTGATTTTGGTGCCTGTGTATGTGAACTACTTCTGTCCCGGTTGTCAGTAGCATGACTGGGGTATTGGAGGAATTAGGTGCTGTTGCTGTGGTCAAGTTAGCTTAGCTCGAAGGCTTTGTTCTCATCTGTGAAATAAATGGGAAGGTCAGTCAGATTGATCTGTTGTATGAAAATAATTTGAGGGGAAATCTGAACATTTAAATTGTTGTCAGCATCTTAGAAAGAAAAGGCTGGGATAATAATTCAAAGTGATTATTGAATCCCAGGCCATTGTATTGCCTACCATTCTTACTGTATCTGGCACACATGGTGTCCATTGAAGTAATGGACTAAATGATGTTCGGTGCTAGCTTTGCCTTCCCACTGCCACAGCTGTCCTGAGTCAGATTTCTAACCACCCAGTACCCTACAGTAGGACTTATTTGACTTCTTAGGGTTCCCAGAGTTTTAAAATACAGGTTAAATATTCCCTGTCCAAAAGTGGTTGAGACTTTGGCTTTTTTTTTTTTCCAATTTTGGAATATTTGCACATATATAATGAGATACCTTGGGGATGAGGCCCAAATCTGATCATGGAAATTTGTTACGCTGGATGTGGTGACTGGAACACACCAGCAATCTCAGTACTCAGGAGGCTGAGGCAGGAGGATCAGGAGTTCAGTGCCATCGTGGTCTATATAGCCTCTCAAACCAAAAATAGAGTCACTCACTTGCTGTGGTGCTGCTGTGAGACTCTGTTGGGTCTGCCAGCCTATCTTAGTCCTGACTCAGAGAGGAGCAACTTCCCCTCTCCAGATAGTGGCTCAGACTTAGCGGTGCTCTCCCTGACACTCTGGACTTTCTCACACTTTGTCTGAAGTTTATCCAACCCATGTATCTGCTGGGCCGTCCTGCGACTGAACCTTCATGCCTAACTCAAAAAGGCATGGCTTTCTTTTCCATCTCCATCCTCAGGCATCTGCCAAACTTTACGGCTTGCCTTCCCTGCACTTTTTCTTTTGAACTTTAATAAAATTGTATTTAAGCTTTAAATAAAAGAAAGGCATTAATTTGTTTCAAATATACCTTATATAGGTAGCCTAAAGGTAATTCTACATAGTATTTTTAGTGAGCCTGTGTTTTGACTTCCTTCTGTACCATGAAGTAACATGTCGAATTTTCCACTTACGGTGTGATGTCAGTGCTTAGAAAGTTTTGGTTTGGATTATGGAGGCACAGCCTGTGCTTCAATGGTCACCTGAGATCAGTGCCTTCACCTGGCAGGTAGACAGACAGACAGCCTCTGCAGAAATACTTCTAGTGCCAGGACTACAGGGTTGGCTTAGTTTGTGGCATTATAGTGAATAGCTTGCCCTTTGACAAAGGTTTTTGGAGTGTTGGGGTTCCTTTTTACAGAATTAGGAGAATACCTGCCAGGTTATTTTGAGTAGAAACAAAGGTGTTTTAAAGGGCCTACCCCACCCCTGTCGGTCTCGAGCAGCAGTTCTGGTCGTCACGATGGCCATCTGACTGTTGGCATTGGCATCATACCCTAGAATCCTTGTAGACTAGTTATTCTGTTGCCAGTGCTTTGTTTTGTTTTGAGACAGGCTGGCCTTGAACTCGGGATTGTCCTGCCTCTCCTCAAGTGCTGGGATCACAGGCATGTGCCATTGTAGCCAGTTTGTCAGTCTGGTTTCAGTTAGTTTTTCAGAGTCGTCTCTAGTTAAAGCTTTGAAGATTGGTTTCTTTCTGGTTTCTTAACACAGAGTCTCTCACTAGAGCCCAGGCTGGAGTACAAGCCCATTGCAGGCCTGCCTTAGTCTCCTGAGTGCTAGGACTATTTTCTGTTTCATAATTGACTTACACTTCAGGGGTGATGGGGTTTGAATGAAAATGTATGGATTAAATTTACTATTTGAATTCCAGTGTGTTGGGGCTGAGGATACAGTTCTGTAGTAGAGCACTTCCTGGTGTGTGGCAAGGCCTGGGTTCATGCCGAGCACTTTAAAACATTTTTTAAGCAATGAACATGTTATACCTGAACTGAGAAATTTTAGTTATCTAAGAAACTTATTTTGTAACTTTAGTTCAGTGTCCTATAAGTGGCATTATGTCCAGTTGCTAACCTTATCTTTGTAAAACACTTGCATCATCATCAGCTCATCCATCAAAACTGAGACTGTTAGCAATAATGGCATTTTATTAATAAAGAACATTTAGCTTACCTTTGATGGTCCTGGGTGCTTGCTGGCCCTTCTAGAGGCAAAAGTGAGTATCTTCTTTTTTTTTTTTTTTTTTTTTGGTTTTTCGAGACAGGGTTTCTCTGTGTAGCTTTGCGCCTTTCCTGGAACTCACTCTGTAGACCAGACTGGCCTCGAACTCACAAAGATCCGCCTGCCTCTGCCTCCCGAGTGCTGGGATTAAAGGCGTGCGCCACCACCGCCCGGCTTGAGTATCTTCATTTTAAAGAGCAGAAGACTGAGATGTAGGTTAACGGGCAACCTGCCGCTGACTCTGTTGGACTAGATCCGGGGTATCTGGACTCCCATTGACTGTTTACTTTGGACCATGCTGATCTTTCCTGCAGTGTTTGGGTGTCTCATTCGATAGCCAATGACTGATAGAGTGGTAGTCAGAGTTTTCTTCAGACTTTGAAAATTGGTTATCAGTCACTAGGATCTTGGTGAAAGCATTAACACAGAGACCACAACAGTGATACCATTTTCTCAGAGGGAGTTTGTTTTAGTCTCGATCACAGCTACTTTCAAAAAATTCTTCTGAAATGAAAAGAATGCAAGAATCATCATCCCATACCCTCTGATGCCCAGTTGACAAAGATAAGGTGGAGAGGAGAGCAGCTTACCCCCGGCTTCCAGACCTTCCAGACCACCTCCCTTTCTGCTAACTCATAGTGTGCCCTGGCAAGCTGTTTCTAACTCAGGTGTAGAAAGCTCAAAGTCTAAGAGGATAAGGCTTAACTTTGAGAGAGACCTCCTCATTTGATATTGTTGTGTAGTGTCAGAACAGGAAGCATCCACTGAGTCAGGTGACCAGGAAAAGGGTATTCGGGTGCTGTTCATTAACCCAGGAGTGGCAGCATTGGCTCCATGTGCTAAGGAAAAGGAAAGGTTTAGCATAGAGTATCATTACTTTTCAATTCTTTTTTCTTGTTAAGATTTAAGGATTATAATCTACTACTAACCATTACCTTGGCTTGTTTCAAAAGTGGGTCTGATTTGATTGGCTTGAGACTGGGAGCAGGGGCAGGTGATTAATGGAACATCAGCTATGGGGTAGAGATCAGATATGGGTTGGGAAAGCCCCTCCAAACAATTCTGGTACTTTCCATCTCCATCTCTTTAGCCGTCACTACAAAAAGGAAGTAGGGAAAGTCACTGAGAAGACAACTGTCTGGAGATGGAAGGTCTTAATCTAATCAGTTTTCCTTCATTATTGCATGGGGGGGGCTTGAAAAATACAACGGGACAGATAAACATGGAGAAGCTGGGAGTGGGAGTTACCGTGAGAAGTTTGAAACTTTAGCCCAATAAAAAATCTCTATCAGTGGTTCTCAACCTGTGGGTCATGTCCCCTTTTGGGGGTGTCAAACAACCCTTTCACAGGGGTTGCCTAAGACCATTGGAAAACATATTTACAATTCATAGCAGTAGCAAAATTACAGTTATGAAGTAGCAATGAAATAATTATGTGGTTGGAGGTCACCACATCAGGAAGAACTGTATTAAAGGGTCACAGTATTAGGAAGGTTGAGAACCACTGCTCTGTATTCACCCAGATCATAATATTTACCTGTCTTACCAGGATTGAATGCTTATTTTTGTACACTCAGGGTATCTAGTCATTTATTAAGCATTTATTGGGTATTTTTGAGTGCTTGACACTGTGTTAGCTTAGGCAATAAAGAGAAATAAGAGGCCAGGCATGATGATATATAGCTATAATCCCAGCATTTGGGAGGTAAGAAATAAGAGGGCCATGAGTTCAAGGCCAGCTTGAGCTGCATGAGACCCTTTCTTTGAAAAGAAAAAGCTACAGGCCTTACCATGTAGTTGGAACAGGAGCTGGGGTCAGTTAGCCGGGCTTCTCTTGGCAGGTGTCAGGCTCAGCAGCACCCCCTGGTGGAAAGGCTCTAATACTGTAATATTGCCCTCACCTGGCCAGGTGCCGGATGTGCTCACTGACCTTCTACTCAAAGTCGGAGATGCAGATCCACTCCAAGTCACACACCGAGACCAAGCCCCACAAGTGCCCGCACTGCTCCAAGACCTTCGCCAACAGCTCCTACCTGGCCCAGCACATCCGAATCCACTCAGGGGCCAAGCCCTATAGTTGTAACTTTTGTGAGAAATCCTTCCGCCAGCTCTCCCATCTGCAGCAGCACACCCGGTAAGGCTGCTCCCACCCTCTACCTGGCTACAAAACCCCCAAGGCCATGTGGCCTGTGCCAACTGTTCTCTCCTTTGCCTTTTGAAATTTTATTCTCTTGTTACTGTCAGAAAATTAAACTATGTATCCTAGCAGTGTGGGGGGCCTTGAAAATTGTGATTTCCGGTCCCCAACTCTGGAACAATTTTTGTGGTTTCTCTCTGTGTCTGTTTGGAAATCTTCTACAGAGCAGACCCTGCTTTTACTATATGCTTCAGTTCAGAGCCATGGTGTGCATTCAACTTCAGGTCCATGGGGAACAGGCGGTATTGGCCTATGTTCAAATTGCTATTTGGAAACAGGGTAACTGTGGTGAGTGTGCAACCTTAGGAAGAGGCCCAGGGTTGACAAGACTGAATACTGTAAGGTCACCAAGAGCCATGGGTTGCAGCTCTTCATCATCTCACTGCCATTCTAGCCACCGACTTGCAGTCAGCAACAACCTAGACGTGGGTGTCCTCTTCATTAGCCTCTCCAGCCGGAGCGTGATTGGGAGGAGGGGGGAGGGGTGCTCTCATCCGACAAGCAACATCCTTTCACCCAGCAGAGGGCTGAGCCCGTGGTGTCGAACTGCTTCCTCCTCCCCCTTCCCTCCTCTCCTCTCCGGCAGGATTCACTCCAAGATGCACACGGAGACCATCAAGCCCCACAAGTGCCCGCACTGCTCCAAGACCTTCGCCAACACCTCCTACCTGGCCCAGCACCTCCGAATCCACTCGGGGGCCAAGCCCTACAACTGTTCCTACTGCCAGAAGGCCTTCCGCCAGCTCTCCCACCTCCAGCAGCACACACGGTAAGGGAGAGGGGCGGGCTACTGATCCCGCCCCGCTGGCATGCCCTCCCCAACCCCCGCCCCGGACACACACAACCACCCGCATGCGGGGGGCGGGGGAGAGACCTGGCTGGAGGTGAGACCTGGCTGGAGGAGAATATGACTGGCAACAGAGAGAAAAGAACTGGATGCCAAGAGAACCTTTCTGGAGCACAAACCGTTTCAAAAAGACACAGTGATTGTTTGGTATTTCTTGATTGATTAAAGAGAGACAAACTTGGAACGAAGATGACCATCTCCTTCACTTTCCTCCCTGAAAATACCAAGCACACATCTTACCAGATTTCTTCTTTGGTGCTAAGCAAAGACATTCGATTTCAGAAGACCTTCTTCTGGCCCTCAAGACACTAATTACGAGTGGGAGACATAATCACATATAAGCTGGCACCAGCCTGGATATCACACTCACAGCAACAAGCAAGAGCCCAAGGAATGTAGTCCAAGAGTAGAGCACAAACGGAAACTGAGAACTGAAAGCCAACTGAAGGAGCGCCTACTTGATCAAGAGGATTCTCGCATCTGATCCATCACTGTGGCCTTACTAGGAGAAGGGAGTCTGACACTAGAAGAGCTGATGGTTTCCTTTGGTGAGATCTCAAGATGAAGTGGAGTCCAGACTCTTGGCAACTGGCCATCTCACCCTGCTTCTTACGGATGTGATGTTCTTACCCAAAAGTGATCAGACACTGTCTCGAGTTTGCTGTCTTCATATATTTGAGGCTTTGTCACAGATGGTTCTGAAGTCCCTGAAAAGGAGCAGGTGTTGGTGCATCCTCCCGTCTTGAGCTTATCTTAGTAGATAGAGGGCCCTGTGGTGTAGGGAAGGTTAGATTGGTTCTAACCTCAGGATTTCCTGTCGGTAAGGGCTTAGACTGGGGGGAAAATCCCTAGGAATTTCCATGGGTTTCCACTAATGTCACCACTGCTTTCAACAATCATTGTAACTTGTCCTTTGATTTCAGAACTATCTCTGGCTATGATGCTCAAGGTTGAAGGAACAGTTTCTGCCTGTAGGGTGGGGACCAAGGAGGAAGTGTTATGTATTTTTCTTTTTCCTTACAATTGTAGTTACCTTTTGTTTCTGAACATTCACTGCGGGATGGTTACTGTAGGAGCAGATTTATATACCAAGTCATGATCTGCCTGTGTCCTGGATGCCGAGGCCTCAGTCCCTTTTCTCCCAGCACAATGAGGCTCTGCTTGAGCTCGGTGCTACAGACAGTGACCAGAAATCAGGCACTTGAAACCACTCCAGGTCAAAGAGCTAAAGCTAGTGCCTCATGCAGGTGTATCTGAGCAGCTTCCTCAGGAGACAACCTGAAGAACCCGAGTCTGGTACGGAGCTAATCTATAGTGACCTTGCTGATGGCCATACTCTTTTTTTCATCCTCTGCAGAATCCACACCGGTGATAGACCATACAAATGTGCACACCCGGGCTGTGAGAAGGCCTTCACACAACTCTCCAATCTGCAGGTAAGTATCTGGTTTCCACATAAGACCTTGAGTTTGAGACTTGGGAGTGACATTTGGCTAGTACAGGTTCTCAGAGGTTTTCAGAAGAACTAAATTCTCTTTAAAATTACTGAGGTGAAGCTGGACCTGCTAGCCTTTAATCCCAGCTACTTGGAAGGCTGAGGCAGAGGATCCAAAGTTCAGGGCCTGGCTGTGGTACAAAATGAGCTCAGGTCTTAATGATAACAGCTTCTCAACATTTAAGAAAATAAAAGAGTTGAGGAGTTAGCTCCCAACAACAGTAAAGTGCTTGCCACAAACATGAAGGTGTGATTGATCCCTAGATCCCACTTTAAATAAAACAGCAGCAGTTTCGTTCGGTATGAGCTTGTTACCCCAGCACTGGGAAAGTGGACAGAGGCAGGTCTTTGGAGCTCTCTGCCAGCAATCCTGACCACGTTGGCTAGCCCCAGGCCAGTGAGAGGTTGTCTGAGAAAACAAGGGGGGGCTCCTGAGTAGTGACACCAAAGTTGTCCCTAGCCACCACATGCATGTGCAACTGAACACACACCCATGTGTGTTTTTAAAAGACTAAGGGCTGATGAGATGGCTCCGTGGCTAAACATACATATCATGCAAGCCTGACTCCCTGAGTTGGACCCCTAGAGCCAACAGTGCAAGAAGAGAACTAACTCATAAAAGGGATCCATTATCTTCTACCCATGTGCCATGACAGGTACACCCACAATAATAAAATTTAAGGGAAAAAAGGATTGATTCTGTAGCTCACTAATAGTACTTGCCTATATGTGCCAGGCTATAGTAGGTTCATAGTACAATACCACATTTTAACGTACCACATTTTAACAAAAACAGTACCCTTAGGTGGCTAGGAATGGTGGCATGTGCTGGACTGCATAGTCAGAAGAAACAGAAAATTGGGGTCTGGAGAAATGGCTGAGCTTAGAGTTTAGAGTACCCATGTCAGGTAGCTTACCACCACCTACCTAGAGCTCTAACCCCAGGGAACCCAGTGCTCTTCTGACCTCCCCAGGCACCTGTACAAATATGTATATAAAAATAAATGTTCAGCCGGGTGGTGGTGGCACACGCCTTTAATCCCAGCACTCGGGAGGCAGAGGCAGGCGGATCTCTGTGAGTTCGAGGCCACCCTGAGTTCCAGGAAAGGCGCAAAGCTACACAGAGAAACTCTGTCTCGAAAAACCAAAAAAAAAAAAAAAAATGTTCAAAAACAGCTGACAACCTGGGCTACATGAAACTCTCTCAGAAAACAAAGCAAAAAAGTAATCACAATATATAAAACAATTGCATGTTAGCATTAATAGAAATAAATATTCCCAAATCCCACTAAAAGAATTTAATGGGAGAATGATATTATTTCACATTTTGTAAGGCCCCCCCCCACAGCCCACTCTAGGCAAGCGCTCTACCACTGAGCAACACACCCAGTCCTTGTGAGGTGTTTTTTTGTTTGTTTGTTTGTTTGTTTGTTTGTTTTAAATACTTAAATGGTGTGTCTGGCCTTGAACAGTCTTTTTTTTTTTTTTTTTTTGGTTTTTCGAGACAGGGTTTCTCTGTGTAGCTTTGCGCCTTTTCCTGGAACTCACTTGGTAGCCCAGGCTGGCCTCGAACTCACAGAGATCCGCCTGGCTCTGCCTCCCGAGTGCTGGGATTAAAGGCGTGCGCCACCACCGCCCGGCCTGCCTTGAACAGTCTTTTAAGTGCTAGGATTGTAGGTGTGTGCTGCAACGACCGGGGTTTTTGCACGTTTCTTCAGTCTTTGGCTTAGCTATAAGTGAACATACTCTTTGACCTGACGTAGTCAGTCTAACAGAGAACAGGAGTGCAGAGGCAGACATTTGTATTTTGTGCGTGTGGCTGTGTTATGGCTGTTTATGCATGAGTAGAGGTAACACTTGGATGTCTGCTCCTGTAGCTCTCTGCCTCATTTCGAGACTTTCGTACTGCAGCTAGAGCTCATCATACTTGACTAGACCAGTAAACCTGAGGCATCCTCCTGTTTCCGCCCCTGCCCAGCACTGAGATTCTTGGTGCATGCCATCACACCCAGCTCTTAGGTGGATGCTGAGGGTGTGAAGTGGGGTTCTTAACACACAGAAGCACTCTACCCACTGACTCTCTCCTCAGTCCTTGTCTCGGTATTTTGAAGAGTTCTGATTATGTGAGCCCCTGAAAAGGGCCAGGTAGCCCCCAAACCCCCCTTTAAGAGCCACTGGAAGAGGGAGACCAGGTAGGTGTAAGTTGTCGTCGTAACTTTCCGAACCCTGGATTCATGCTGTATAGTAGACATCTCCCCCTTAGCCACTAGTCCTGACGTCTCATTCAGAGCATTCTGTACTGCCTTCTTGTAGAAAGGGAAGCTAGGATGGCCTCTGCTTACCCCGGGCTCTCCCGCCATGAAGGCCAAGGAAGGAACGGTACTCATTTTGGTTTCTCTTGTTTGTTTACAGTCTCACAGACGGCAGCACAACAAAGATAAACCCTTCAAGTGCCACAACTGTCACCGAGCATACACAGACGCAGCCTCACTAGAGGCTCACTTATCTACACATACGGTGAAGCATGCCAAGGTGTATACCTGCACAATCTGTAGTCGGGCATACACATCGGTAAGTGCCTGCTACCTTCCCTTCCCGGGTCTCTGTCCCTTCCTGATGGAAGTCTGCTGGTGAATGGCTTGTTGTGTACTTGCCCCTGCTCTCTCTCGCTCAGTAGATAGAGTCAGTATTCAGAGATAATTAACGCCATAAGCAGTGGTTCTTCATTAGACATATAAGATGAGCTTTTGTGATAGAGAAAGGTTTCGGGTATTTTCTGTGATATTCTAGAACAAGATTATCAAATGGCTTCACTCAGAGATGGTTGAGAAAAAGAACTTTCTCTGTGCCCACAGTGACTTCTAAAAGTCCCAGTCCTTTACCGCACTCCAGAATAACCCTTTACAGCCATTACAGAGTAAGAGCCCAGAGTGATAGCTGCAGGTCTTCTCTTTCTTTCATCTTAACTTCTCTTTACCGTCTCTCTAGGAAACATACCTTATGAAACATATGCGCAAACACAACCCTCCTGATCTTCAGCAACAAGTGCAAGCAGCAGCGGCGGCGGCAGCAGTGGCCCAGGCCCAGGCCCAGGCCCAGGCTCAGGCTCAGGCTCAGGCCCAGGCTCAGGCCCAGGCCCAGGCCCAGGCTCAGGCTCAGGCCCAGGCTCAGGCTCAGGCTCAGGCCCAGGCCCAGGCTCAGGCTCAGGCTCAGGCTCAGGCCCAGGCTTCCCAGGCATCACAACAGCAGCAACAGCAGCAACAGCCACCACCACCACAACCACCACACTTCCAGTCCCCTGGGGCAGCTCCCCAAGGTGGGGGTGGTGGGGACAGCAACCCGAACCCTCCACCCCAGTGTTCCTTTGACCTGACCCCCTATAAGACGGCGGCAGAGCATCATAAAGACATCTGCCTCACTGTCACCACCAGCACCATCCAGGTGGAGCACCTGGCCAGCTCTTAGAGATCCGTACTGCCATCCACTGGAAAGAGGGAGGAGTTCTGGGCCCTCCTATGTCAACTCCTCTTGTTGGGAAAGTTCTCTTCTTCCTTGACAAGTCCTGTCTCCAGCTCCTTGGTCCTCAGGCATGGCTTCCTTCGCAAGATAACCATCCTTAATCTCAGCTGCTCCTGATTGACAAAGGAATCTTGAGCTGATAGTGTTATCCAACAGCCCCATCCAAGCAGAGCTTTTAAAACTGGGGGTTGGTGCTTGAGAGAGGATCTGCTGTGACCTCACATCTTGTCCAGTGTGGGCACTTACCTTTCTCTCTTCTCATCCTCAAAGTTGGGGCCGACAGAAGGCTAGCGGCTGGCCTCCCAGATAACAGAAAAGGAAGCTCTAAACGCAACCAGCCTTCCGTTCTACGCTTACCTGTAAAAGAACAGGTTCTGCACGTGGCCTGACCCCTGTGAGCCATTTTCTTTCCCTTACATGGTCTCACTTCCTATTGGGTGGTGACTACCCTTTTATTTGTACGGGGGACGGTAGCTGATACATGGTCGCCAAGGTGCCAGAGATCCCCAGGTGACCACGGGTGGTATAAGAGAATGGGTTATGATTTTTCCTCCAAGTCTCCTTCCTTCTCTGCCAACCAAGGGCCTATATACTCCGCCTCACCACCCCAGTCCAAGGAGCTGTGGGAGCTGTGTTCTCTGCAAAACCCCAGCCAGGCTATTGCAGAGAAGGGAGAAGTCAGAGCACACACAAGGACTGGACTTAGCTCCCTAGGTGCCACGGTCAGATGCCAGACATGGATTTATATATAAATATATATATATAAATATATATATATACCTGCTCATCACGGCCATCTTTGTTGTAACCATTTCTGTGTTTATAAATGCATTATCTCTGAGAATTTTCATATTGATGTTTTGTTTTTGTCTTATTTTTCTCCACCTTGTCCTCTGGCCATGGCATTTTAATTTTCTTTTACCTTTTAATTTTTTAAATCATGGCAGATTTCAGAGAAAAGAAAATTAAAATAATCAGGAATTATACAGTTGTTATAAAGCAATTTAAAAATGAAAATTCTTATGTACAAACTAAGGGGTGTTTTTAGAACATTGTATAGAAATAAATTCATGTTTAAGGATGAGAGCAGTGAGCTACTGATGTAAGCTAGCATGGGAAAAGCTATTTGGGGAGATATTCAGGACAGCATTAAGTACTTAAACTGGAATGTGTGAAGAATGAGTGCTTGTGTGATAAGCCCCTGTGTGAATCCTCAGCCACTTCCAGTTTAGGAACATTTGTGTACAAATTCTGTCGTGGGGATTGCTTGCCTACATCCGCGGTGAGAGCAAGGTTTCATTTAACAAAACAGCTATATTCCTTACTCTTTGCCCTCCACACATCAAAAAAAGGGGGCGGGGAAGTATGGCCTCTTCAAAGGACCTGCACTACCCATGCCTTCCTATTTTGTCCAAATTCTACTGGGCATTGTGTACATATGTGTGTGTATCATTAAACTGCAGTGACTAAGACCAGAGGTTTCCGGTGATGGAAACCATAACCAGCTACTGGGCTTAGGACTGAAGAAAATGCAAAATGCAGTGAGCTTCCCATGATACAATGGTTATCATGTTCACCATACAGTGGAAGACAGTTGTGCTGGACAGATCAAGAAACCTAAGACTTCTCACAGTCTACCATGAGAGGATTCGGCCTAATTTCCAAGACTGCATCATGAAGATAAAATCCTTCATACAGTACTGAAAAAGTTGACAAAGTTCTCAGACCTGAGAACTGACCAACAGCCATTACCTAGTGATGTGGATAAGTAAGTCCCATTTAATTTGGGACTAGCCATCCAGAACAGTATCTCAGTATGCCATTGTTGGTTAGCTTCTTGATGCTTTTTTTCTCCTCTCACTGACTACTGAGAGTCTCTGACGACCCTGTTTCCATCACAAGTATTGGAATAAGTACCTTTGTGGGTGAATGTCCATTCCCACTCCCACCTAATGATAATGTTGCCTACTGCTACTCTCGTTGTATAGCGAAAAGAGCTGGCAGGGATAAAGTTATCCCAACAGCATGCTCTTGTCCTACTGCCCTGCTTTAGCATCTGCTCAGTAGTAAATGGGTATCTTTACATATTTGGTCAAAGGGAGCTAAAATTTTAAAAGTATGCTGTGTGGTGTAATTATTGTGAAAGATGTATGAATTAGAGGTGACAGCTGTCTTCAAGAATCCACCACCACTATTATGTTACGGGGTTTGAGTTGTTTCCCTAAGGTAGCAGCAACCTGCCAGGCTTTCACTTTTGTACAATGGATGATACGTTTGACTAGGGGGATGGCTGATGTCTAGGTGGTCTAGCAATCATAAACCTTGATGACCCAGACCTTTTAGAGTCATGTTAACATCATACATAAATTAAAATACAAAACAAAAACATGGGATCTCCCGTTAATAGCACAACTGCAAAATCAATGAGTGTTGTGCTCTTTGTGAACGTTTGTTGAGTATAAAGAACAGGAACCTTAGCCTGGTGTGACAAACGCCTTTAATTCCGGCACTGTCGAGGCAGAGACAGGCAGATCTCTTAAATTGGAAGACAGCCAGGGCTACACAAACCCTGTGTTGTAAAAAATTAAGTGAACAGAAGTGCAAAAGGTTACGTTTTGCAAAGCCTGACAACTTCAGAAGAAAGCATCTGCCTCAGAGACTACCTGCTTCAGCTTTGATGATCAAATTCAAAATAAGCAAATAGCTGTTTTCCCTACTTGCTGAAAGGAGGGATTTACAGAATACCAGACTGAACAGTTTCTTCCCCCATTTACCAAACATGCCTGTTGGAAGGAAAAAGTTTGCTAGAGAATGCAAAATGGCGACCTTGCGTGATGTCATACCTGCCTCAGTAACATACTGGCGTCCTATTAAGGGCGGAAGCAGGCTAAAGCAGCTTCGCTGTGGGCGATCGTGACTAGCCATGCAAAAAGGTTCAATGTCGGGCGGATGTGTCTGGGGGCGATATTATAGTAAGGGCGGAAGTTCTTTTAAGTACGGAAAGGATCTAATCCAAGAATGGCTCCAGCGCCTGTCTGGTTTCAGTCACTTCCGGGGCGGATCGGAAGTTGCTTTGTTTTGCTTCAAGATGGCTGCTGGGATGTATTTGGAACATTATCTGGACAGTAAGAGCCGGCTGAAGAAGGGGGTCATGGGACATAGAGTGGTGTGGAGGGTCCGGGTTGACAGAATCTATGGCTCTGAGGTCCTGGGGGCCTGAAGCTCACAGTTGGGAAAGGGTTCCGTGGGAGGATTTATTCGAGGGTGAATAAGGAGGGGGCGGGGCAGTGGCAATACAGGCCTCGCTCCTGTTGTAGACGAGGGAAGGGGCTGCCCGGTGGGGCCAGGGTTGTGTTTTGAAGGGTTACGGGGAGCAGGGAAGGTATTTCCTGACTCTCTCCTCTAGGGTCCCTGGCCTCAGGGTATATTTTTCTCTCCTAAATTGCACAGGGTCGTTATCACTGCCATTTGGAGTGGCTGCAAATATTTGATCTAGTCTCCTTTAGTCATTTATGTCCCCAGAGTGGCCAGGTGGATGGAGTGGGACGACCACTTGAGTTGTTACACTGGAACGCTTTACTTCGTGAGCAAAATCCAGTTCTCATATAATGAATGTGTGTGTGTGTGTGTGTGTGTGACTGGGAAGTGAGAAATAGTCTGGAAGTAGATTAAACGCCAAACTAAGATGTTTGCGTCTTAATATAGAGTATTGACTTTATTAAAGGAAAAGTAAATGACCAGTTTATGATAGCAGTCCAATTCAGAGATGCAAACCTGATCTTAGAGAATGACAGAAACTTTTAGATATTAAATGTGACAAGATTGATTGGATGATGTCGTTATTAAGAGAGAAGGAAAAAATCAAGGTGAATTCTTCTGCTTGGAAAATAAGATAAATGATAGCGACAGCAGTGTAGGAGATTCAGGAGTCATAGCAATATATTTATTTTTGCCTTAGACATAGGCATAAAGTCTGTGACAGTGAGATTCTTTAGGGAAAAGAAAGTGAGGAAGTAAAATGACAAAATCTCAAGAAAACAGCGTTTAAAGGATAAGACATCCTTGAAGTTACCAGAAGATCTGTAATTTAGTATTTGCAATACTAGGAGGAAGTAAGTCACTTGATCGAGAAGGTAGTACCAACTGCTTCAGACTTTTCTTTAGAGGAAGACAAAAGATGGATCATTTGATTTTGGTAATGTGCTGGTGACTTAAAGTAATCATAGTGAACTGGTGCCCGCAGACTTGAGAAGTTCAAACAATAGAAGCAACTTTTTGGTTTTTTTGTTTTTAAGACAGTGTCTAATGTAGCCCAGGTTGACCTCGAGTTTGATACACAGCTGAGGGTGACCTTGAACTCTAGGTCCTCTTTCCACCTCCCTGTGCTGAGAATTGTAAACATGTGACACCGTGCCTGGTGTAGTAGAAACATTTTTAAAGTGTGAGTTGGCTTCACAGAAACACTTTAAAAGTTCGGTGGGTGTGGTGGCACATCCCTTTGTTCCCAGAATTTAGGAAGATGTCTGAATTTGAGACCTACTGATCCATGTAGTGAGATCTAGGCCAGCCAGGGCTACATAATAAGACCCCGTCTCAAAAAAAAATGTGACAGTAGAGCATTTGCCTATCAGGTGCAAGCCCCTGGATCTGAGGTTCAGTCTCCATCACCAAAGGGGGGAAATTAAAGTGTAGGAAGAAATTTTGCTTCTATGGGGAGGCTTAGCTAATAATGCATTTTATTCAAGTATTCACTGGGCACTTTCTGTATACATGGCAATTCTAAACACAAGGAAAATTTAAAATTGATACAGACATGTATCTGTCCTGGAAGGTTAGGGAGACAGACAGGGAGTAACTATGTTAATTATTTAGTTATGGTTGGATAGCTACTAAAAGCATAGCTAGACAACCTTGACAGCCTATCAGAGTCTGGGAAAGTCAGGTTCTGGGCTGAACTTTGAAGAACGAGCAGAAATCCAGTAGGCGAGTGGGTAAGGTGGGCGTGGGAGGAGGAAGACAGCTCTTGGGAAGCTGCTGGTGAGTGTGAGGCGCTCACCAGGCCAGAGCAGAGCAGAGAGATGGCATGGCTGAGTGAGATAAGCAGGGTGGGAAGTGCAGAACGCAAGCATACGGAGTCACTGGAAGCTGGCAGCCTGCGTGATGATTCCGAAAGGAACTAGAGTGGGACTTTGAAGTCGAGGATGAAGAAGATGGCGGCGGAAACTGAAAACAGTGGGAAAACTGGTTTGTAGAGTGTCACCGAAGAGGAAGGGGATGGGATGGTGACACAGATAGGCGAGGCTTCTCTTTTGAGAAAATGCAAATGAATCTTTCACAGATAAATCCATCATTTCAGGGCTGGCATGTTAAGAATGCCTACCTACCATGCAGGAGACCCTAGGTCTGATCCCCACCACTGCATAAACCTGGCATATATACACAGGACTATTAGGTCTCAACACATGGGAGGTAGATATACAAGAATCAGAAATTCATTTTTGCTCATCCTTTGCTACATAACAAGTTTGAGGCCAGCCTAGGCTACAGAGACCCTGTCACCAAAAGAAAAAAGAAAAAAAAAATACACTTTCAAATGAGGGGAAACTGAACTGCACTTCATTTTTTAATGTTGAGTGACATATTTTCAGAAAATGATTTTTAAAATTAATTTTTAGTTATGCATCTGTGTGGATGGTGTCTGTTTATGCACGAGTGCAAGTCCTCTTGCCGCCCAGCAGCACTGTGTTCCCGCCAGACCTGGAGTTGAGGCACTTGTAAGCCACTCAGCATGGGAAGTGCAAACCACACTCTGGTCCTCTGGAAGAACAGCCAGTGCTCTTATCCACTGAGCATCCCTCCAGCCCCTGCACTCTACTTTTGTGTGTCGGTCTGTTTGTTCTATTTTGTTTTTCCTTTCAAACAGCATCTTAAGCCAGGCATGGTGGCGCACGCCTTTAATCCCAGCACTCGGGTGGCAGAGGTAGGTGGATCTCTGTGAGTTTGAGGCCAACCTGGGCTACAGAGTGAATTCCAGGACAGCTAGGGCTGTCTCAAACAAAACAAAACAATGTAAACCAGGCTGGCTTCAAATTCCCTATGTGGCTGAGGCTGACTTGAGCTCCTAATTCTTCTGCCTCCTGCTGCTTCCAGCTTGAACTTCATTTTAAAAGGAGCTCTAGGGCCAAGGATGTAGCTCAGTGGTAGAGCCACTTGCCAAGACCTGTATATAATCCAGTAACTATATTTCCCTGTCTTCCCAGGTATTGAAAACCTCCCATTTGAATTACAGAGAAACTTTCAGCTCATGAGGGACCTAGACCAAAGGACAGAGGGTACGTACAAAATAACAGGCTCTTGTTGATCATCATTTATTTTCCTACTTTCTGTTATCATACCATCTGGTATAATCTGGAGGACTGTGACTTATATTGTGTGTGTGTGTTTGGGGGGTGTATGAGTGTTTTGCCTGTATGTATGTCTGTGCATCATGTGTGTGCCTGATGCACAAAGAGGTCAGAAGACAGTATCGGATATCTGGAACTGGAGTTAAGGATGGTTCTGAGCCACCATGTGGGTGCTGCGATCTGAACCCAGGTCCTCTGCAAGAGCAGCAAGTTCTCTTAATCACTGAGCCATCTCTCCAGCCTGTCTTTCATGGAATTCTTACAAGAAGATAATGGTCATCCTCATTTCTACTTTTCCACATCAAATGGAGTATTGAGACAGTGCCTCAAGAAGTTAGACCTGCTGAGCTGGCAAGACAGCTCATGGGTAAAGGTATTTGCTGCCGAGCTGACAACTCGGATTCCATCCCCAGGACCCACACAGTACAAGGAAAGACCCCCTAGGAAGTTGGTCCTCTGACCACCACCTGGAAGTGATTCTACACATTCATCCACACACATACAAATCATGCACACAAAATAAATAAGCAAGTAAGGTTCAGAGCTACTATGATTTTTGTACCTTCCTCAAAAATTCAAGACACCAACCCTAGACATTGCTGCCATTTTTGTTGGTTACGTCTGCATGATAACCACAAGTTATACCTCGTTGCGTTGTTTATGTTATCATAAAATACACAGGGTGTTAGACTACAGTTCATGTTGGTTGACAGGAACTTTGCTGAGAAGCTCTTAAAAAGAAAGAAGGGCCAAGCATGGTAGCACAGCAGATAGATCTTTGTGAGTTCGTGACCAGTCTGGTCTCCATACTGAATTCCAGTTTCAGGCCAGCTAGGACTACACAGTGAGACCCTATTGTGAGGGGCGGGGGGATTTTTTTTTTAAGGTCATCCTCAGGTACATTCCCAGTTTAAGGTATACCTGAGAGACCTTTTCTCTAAATGAATAATTAATAATAAAACTAACCAATAAAAATACAAGCAAGAGAAAGAAAACAGAAGGCGTCACTTACCATCAGGAGCTCTCTACTGTGTTCTATCACTCATGCATTAGATATTATCTCAGGCCTTGGACACGGAGCAGACTGGGCTACACTGAGGTGTCCATTTGGAGCCTCAGGAAAGCTCCACCACAATGCTCAGGTTGGTCTGCACCAGTTTTAAAGTTGAGTTGAAGGTGCCCCGATACCTACTGAAGGATATGTAAGTCTCACATTCCATTCTGTGTAGCCATGTTCAAAGAGGTAACGGGCTAGGATATGCAAAGCCGTGTCTTAAGTTAACTCTGGCTAAGTTTCTTCATGAAAGTGAATATTACCTAACATCTGCCACTGACAGCTGCCTGCCAGATGGTCAGAATCAGCTGGATTTCTCTGTAATGAAATTCTAACTCGAGTCCATGCTCTGAGACCAGCTGGAGATTATGGAATTGTGCTTTTCCCACGTCTCCTAAAGGCCTGGCATACAGTGAAGTATGAGCATAGCATGCTCCCAGATGCTCCCCATTGTCTGGTGGTCCACTGTGCTACAGTCTTTGCCTCTTCCCATTGATATTTATATGAGCCCTGACTAATGTCAGGGAGTAGGCATCTTCAGGTCAGTGTTCTGGGACATCGCCAGCCCTCTGTCTAGTATTAAGGTGTTTCGAGCAATATCTAAAATGAACAAACAGAAAAAAAAATGACAAGAATTGTAAGCAAGTTGTAATTGATGAGCAAAGAAAGATGGGCAAGCTGGGTATGGCGGCTCACACCTGTAATCTCAACATTCAGGAGGCTGGGGCAGGAGGATTTGCTTCTGTTTTAGGCCAGCCTGGACTATATAGTATGTTCTAGACATCTTGAGCTACAGAATGAGACTTGGTACTCAAAAAACAGTAAGAAAAAAGTAGGATGGACAGTAAGGATGCAGAAGCAGCATTCCTTGGAGGAATTAGGACCTAATGTTAAAATTTCAGACCCAGCACTATGGCGGCTTAGGCAGGAGGATCATAAATTCGAGGCCGACCTGGGCACCACCCTATCTCAGAGAGAGAGAGAGAGAGAGAGAGAGAGAGAGAGAGAGAGAAAGACCTGGAGGCCACAGCACCAGTAAGTGACTCGGCCTGGTTTGCAGCAGTCAGGTCTGTTGGGGGATGCGGTTAAGACAAGAAACAAGGTGGCCTTTGGAACCGAACTCATGAGGCAAGCAGCAAGCAAGCCCTGCAAAGAAGCGTCTTGAACTGTCATCAGAAGTGCACCTCATGTTAACATGTACACGGCTGGGAGTCCCACAGTGCCTCTGGTAGCTTCAGTTCCAACTCTGGCAGCCATGTGTTCTGCACCTTGAAGGCACTTGCAGACAGTCTCAGCCAGGCACAGTGGCACATGTTTGTAATCTCAGCGCTAGGGAAGCAGAGGCAAGAGGATATCCCAAGTTCAAGGCCAGCCTGAGCTACATACTGACACTGTCTCAAAACATACCAGAAAAGGCCCAAATAATTTCAGTGTTGCATTTCCCGAATACAAGGCACAGTACCTGTGAACGTTCAGTACATTTCAGTTGGAAGGTCTTGATGGCCGATGGAAAAGGTCCAAGGAACAAGAGGAAGAAGTATGCTTCATCTACCCACCAGGGGCCATTGTGACCCAGGCCTCTGTCTCTGTTGTAGACCTGAAGGCTGAAATTGACAAGTTGGCCACTGAATATATGAGTAGCGCCCGCAGCCTGAGCTCCGAGGAAAAACTGGCCCTTCTCAGACAGATCCAGGAGGCCTATGGCAAATGCAAGGAATTTGGTGACGACAAGGTGCAGCTTGCCATGCAGACCTATGAGATGGTATGGCCCTGTTCACGGCTTCCCACCTACCTCCCGTCTAATCCTCAGGCTCTTAGACCCTCCTTCAGCTGTGTTGGGATCTGTTTGGGGTCTGGAAGAGTCATCGTCTGTTTCCAGTGAAGGAAACAGCTTTGTACCTTCCCCCGTCTTCCTCCCCACAGGTGGACAAACACATTCGGCGACTGGACACAGACCTGGCCCGCTTCGAGGCTGATCTGAAGGAGAAGCAGATCGAGTCAAGTGACTATGACAGCTCTTCCAGCAAAGGCAAAAAGAGTGAGGAGGGGGGTGGGGCCAACTCCAGCTCTGAGGGACCAGTGTCACCTGGAACAGGAGCAAAGAGGACTTAACCATCTTTTTGTCTTTGCCTTCCGGCTTACCCTTTCTTCCTAGAAGGCCGGACTCAGAAGGAGAAAAAAGCTGCCCGTGCCCGTTCCAAAGGGAAAAACTCAGATGAAGAAGCCCCCAAGGCTGCCCAGAAGAAGTTAAAACTTGTGCGCACGTGAGTACATCAGAGGACGCCCACCTCCCAGCAGCACCGCCTCTTGCCACTCTCCCTGTTTCTGTGCCAGTAACTCTCTGTCACTTTGGTGTCTGCTGGATGGAGAAGAAGCCTTCTGTCATTTGCCTCACCACAATCTCCTGCCACCTCCAAGCTCAGGTGGTAGCTTCCCTTCCTGCAGGTGACATTTGTCTTCCTCTTGGCATGCAGAAGTCCTGAGTATGGGATGCCCTCAGTGACCTTTGGCAGTGTCCATCCCTCTGATGTGTTGGATATGCCTGTGGATCCCAACGAACCCACATATTGCCTTTGTCACCAGGTCTCCTATGGAGAGATGATTGGCTGTGACAACCCAGATGTGAGAACCCTTTGCCTCAGGGTTGGGGGAGGAGCTCCGAGGGGCACGAGGGGCATGAATAAAAGGAGCAGGCACTTTATTCAGTTGGAGAGAGGGAGTGCAGGATAGGATAGTGGTTGGACTGGGTTGCCTGGGGATTTGCAGGAAGTTTCCAAAAGGCTGGAGTAAAGGGGCCCCTCTCAGGAGTCTGCAGCTGGCTCCTCTCCCCTCCAGCTCAGGCCCCTGACTGCTGTGTTCCATCTTCCTTTGCCAGTGCTCCATCGAGTGGTTCCACTTCGCCTGTGTGGGGCTGACCACCAAGCCTAGGGGGAAATGGTAAGTGGCGGCGTGGCAGGAGCTAGTCGGGCTGTCCCAGGGCTGAGTGGGAGAGCAGGCTTCACTTACTTTTGCTTGCCCTGCTCTTTGCCGGTTTTTAGGTTTTGCCCACGCTGCTCCCAAGAACGAAAGAAGAAATAGCTTTCCTTGGATCTCATGCCAGATTTCTTCCGAATCCCCCTGCCCTGGGCTAGTGACAGAGAGGAGCACCTCTGCCGGGGCACTGGGGGTCCAGGGAGATGTCGACAGTGCAGTCCTGTCCTTCTTCTCCCTTCCCCCACTCCTGGTGCTGAGGCTGCATCCAGACCCTGGTAGGGAGGGTGCCACAGCCATGGACGGTATGTGCTCCGTTCCACTCTCTCCTTCAGAGGGAAGTAATCCCACTCACTGTCCTTCTGCCTCCGTGGTGAGGTTGGTGCTGTATTTCAGAGGGAGGGTCCTCTTCATTCCCTTGCTTTGTGTTTAAGGACTGGGCCAGTGGAGTGGGCACTCTCCCAGGCTCCTCCATCTTCCCTTCCCCTACTGGGGCTAGGTAGGATAAACTTCTTCATTCTTTTTTCCATGGTGAGGGATCTTGTAGATCACTTGGACTCTGGCCTAGCTGAGTGATTCCCCCTTCCTCTGTGACCCGGGGATTCATCCTGACTTTGAATGGGAGAGGGTAAGGTGGAGCACAGATAACTCACATGTAAAAGGAACTGGGGTAGGTAAATAAAAGCTATCCATGCTAGCCTGCTGTGTTTATTGTAGAGACTGTCTCCGTACATGTGATAAGCATTCTTTCTGCATCCTCTGGATTGGATGAGAGGCAGGAGGATGGCTTGCCAGAAGTAGGACAAGATGTGAAACCATAATGATACTTGTCCTGTGGTATCCACACCTTTTCCACCTGGAGGGGTGCCTTGCATCGGGGGACTCAGAACTTTGTAATTATGCATCTGCTCTCGGTGAAACACTTTTCACTTAATTCCAATAAATCATGTATTTGCGTTATATGTGTGTGCTGTGATAGTGTTAGCTTGATTTCTTTTACAAACAAAAGATAAATTAAGTATTTGCTTCCCATCCCCCAATGAATTAATTGGTCACCTTTCTCTTGGAAACGTAAGTCCCTTGGACCACTGAACCATTCTACACGTGTGTTCACCTTGGTTGATCCTGCTTTCATTTTAACTTTGGGGCTCCCCCCCCCCCCCCCCAGACAGAGCTTCTCTGTGTAACAGTCCAGGCAGGCCTCAAACTCACAGAGATCCACCTGCCTCCGCCTCCCAAGTGCTGGGACTAAAGGGGTGCACCACCGCCGCCCGGCTTTGGGTCTGTTTCTTACCTAGAGGTGTCCTCCATAGCTCCTGGCCAGGTCGCCCCTGCCTTTTTCAGTCCTGCCCTGCTGCCCAGGGTGCTGCCTAGACTCAGGAGCTAGGTCTCCATACAACTAGGCACATTGCTTCCTTAAGCCCACCTTCTTTGTCTGTAAAAGAGGTGTTAATACACACCCTCTGGGTTTACGGCCAAGCGGCAGGAAGTAGTACGCAGGGCTGAGGTTTTAGCTCTGTGGTGGGAGAAGCGAGGTTCTAGGTTCAATTCCCGGCAGCGCGAAAATGAATTCAAAGCAAGTAGTACCAAGCAGCAGAGGGCTTACTCTGCTGAAGAGGGACCGGAAGGGCTGTGCAGCCTGTGGCTCGGCCCTCGGTCCACGGCCCCCCACAACTGGTGCCCTCACAGGAGTTCACCTCGTGCCCGGCCCCGCCCTCACCTTTGTGACGTAGTAGCCGCGCCTCCTGCCTCCGCGTTAGCCGCCCGAGACCCACAGCTCTCCGAGACTTGGCCCGTTGGAGGTTGCTTTGGTGTGAAAACACGGGTGGATCTTCCCGGGCCATGATGAAACTAGCTGCTGGCTTCCTTCTGCTGCTTCTGGAAGGTGAGAGGCGAGGGTTGGCCGACGGAGGCTGCCCTGGTCTGAAAACGCGGGTGGATCTTCCCTGGGGATTCCTTATGCTCCCAAAGGACTTGAGGCCCCTGCCTCCTGGGAGCCCTTTTCGTGGGTTCTGAGACGGCTGTCTCCATGTGGTAGAACTGGACCACTTCCTGGCTTGGGAAAGGTTGGACTTTTATCTCTTGTCCCTAGAAATCTCTAGGGACACTCTAGTTATCAGGCATCACCCAAGACACCCCCCACTCCCCCGACACCCACACACATACACATAACATGCCAGTTCTTAATTCATGGGGCGTCTACTTCTAGTCTGGGTCTGGCCACTGGACACGGAGTATGTTTGGGGGTAAGGTCTGTTCTCGTCTGTCCCCGTTCCCTGCAGTGCGGCTCCTGCCTGTAACACCTCTCTCAGCTGAGGATTCATCTTCGGCCTCCACTCCAGGCAGCCCTCTCTCATCCACTGAATATGAACGTTTCTTCGCCCTGCTGACCCCAACCTGGAAGGCAGAGACCACCTGCCGCCTCCGTGCAACTCACGGCTGCCGGAACCCCACTCTCGTCCAGCTGGACCAATATGAAAACCACGGATTGGTACCAGATGGTGAGGGCCAGACCGGTGGGGAAACCTAGACACCCAGAGGTCCACTAGGCTCAGGGCAAAAGCTTCGTGCTCATAGAGGGGGCAGGGACACAGCTGGCAGCTCACCCCAGAACCTGTTCTCCACTCGTGGAGACCTTGACCCAGCCCAGGCTTTCCTGTAACCACTCTCCATGGGTGCTGTCCTTTCTTAGGTGCTGTCTGCTCTGACCTCCCGTATGCTTCCTGGTTTGAGTCCTTCTGCCAATTTGCTCAGTATCGTTGCTCCAACCATGTCTACTACGCCAAGGTGAGGAAGGCTGGATCTGTTGATCCAGAACCAAGGTAGAGTGTGTGGGAGTGGGGAGTTGAGGAAGGTGTCCAGGAAGGGCATCATTTAGTTCATCTCCCTGTCAGTTTGCCAAGGTGAGTACGGTCTCACTTCAGTTGCCCACATGGGCTGAACAACCCTTGTTCCTCTGAGTAAAGGAGAGAAGAGAGATTCTGGGGAGAGGCAGAGCTATGCCCTTCCTTCTGTTGCTTCAAAGGGTCCATGTTTTTATTTAAGTCAGCTGGGAAAGAGTGAAGGCAGGCACGTGGCCTAAACAAACGCCCTCTCTTAGGACTACAGGCTCCCTAGAGGAACTGTGTTCCTTCATTCCTGCCCAGGAGCTGTGAAAGCTGTGACTTGCTGGGCAGGGGACTGAGGAGGACCCTGCTGGGGAGGCTGCTCTTGGGAAAAGGCGTTCCCATTCTCCTTTTTTTTGCAGAGGGTCCGATGCTCCCAGCCAGTTTCCATCCTCTCACCCAACACTCTCAAGGAGATAGACTCTCCCCCAGAAGTCCCTGCCACCACCATGACATCCCCCATGGCATCCCACGCCACAGGTGAGACCTCCCATGTTGGGAAACCATGGTGCCCAGGGCTCGGGGTGTCAAACCTTCTCGGTAAGAGTGATGAGTTGGGGAGAAGAGCGAGAAGCTTTTGCTTTGCGTGAAGTAAGTCAAGGCTCTCTTGTCTCAGAGCTTCTTCCACTATCACTTAAGGCCTTCGTCAGAATCTGCTTTTCCTAGTTCCGAAGACAGGTTGGCCTCAAACTCAGATCTCCAGTTAAGAGCACTAGCGCCTCTTCCAGAGAATCTGGGCTCAATTCCCAGCCCTCACAGGGCAGGCCTGGAACAGCCGACGCCCTCTTCTGGCTTCCACAGGCACTGCATGAATGTGATGTACGGGCATATATTCAGGCAAAACACCCATACACGTGAAATGAAAAATAAAAATAAAAACCTTCCAGGCCTTTTGTAAATTCATATTTTCATTTTAGAGAGTGTTTGGACTGGGAGCATAGCTCAATGGTAGAATATATGCTCAGCATATATGAGGCTCTGGGCTTGATTCCTAGGATCCCCCTCATTCAAATATAAGGAATTAGTTGCTAGTTCCTTAGAATACATGGTATTCTCTAGGTGAGATGGATACAAGTAACATTTGTTCTAGGGAACAAGTACATTTGTAAGGCAAGTAGAAAGGTGACATGTACCACCAACATATTCGTTATGGGAATATCTTTTAATTTTGATTTTAGTTAGTTAACTATGTACAAATAGTTTGTGTGTGTGTGTGTGTGTGTGTGTGTGTGTATACATGTATGTGAAAATTAGAGGTCAACACTGAATGTCTTCCTCAGTCACCACATTTATTTATTTTGAGACAGGGTTTGACTATGTAGCCCTGGCTGGCCTGGAACTCACTATGTAGACCAGGCTACCCTGGAACTCACAAAGATCTGCCTCAGTCTCCAGAATGCTAAGATTAAAGGTGTGTACCATCATGTCCAGCTTAAACCACTTGAGTTTTGAAGACTGGTTCTTTCAAGAAACTTGGAGCTAGGACTAGAGAGATGGCCCAGTGGTTAAGAGCCCCAGCTGCTCTTCCAGAGGATCTGGGTTCAATTCCCAGCACCCACATGGCAGCTCACAACTGTCTGTAACTCCAGGTGGTGATGGCTCATGCCTTTAATCCCAACACTTGGGAGGCAGATGCAGGCAGATCTCTGAGTTCAAGGCCAGCATGGTCTACAAGCAAGTTCAGGACAACCGGGGCTACACAGAGAAACCCTGTCTTGAAAAACAAATAATAATAATAATAATAATAATAATAATAATAATAATAATAATAATAATAATTAATAGAAACCTGGAGCTGACTGGCTAGCCTGTAAACCCTCAGCATCCTTCTGTCTCCACCTTCCCAGCACTCAGAGTATAGGCACATGTTCCCATACCCAGCTTTTTTTTTTTTAGGATTTATTACACTTACAGTGTGCTGTCTGCATGTTTTGCCTACATGCCAGAAGAGGGCACCAGATCTCACTAGAGATGGTTGCGAGCCACCACGTGGTTACTGGGAATTAAACTCAGGACCTCTGGGAAGAGCAGTCCATGCTTTTAACCTCTGAGCTGTCTCTCCAGCCCTCCCATCCCAGCCCTTATATAGACTTTAAGGGCTGAACTCGGGTCTCCATGCTTGCAAGTGCTATGCCAACCACCCTGCAGCCCCAATTTCTTGACTGAAAAGCAAGCAAACGTAAAAACTTGTGTTGAGGCCGGGCAGTGGTGGCGCACGCCTTTAATCCCAGCACTCGGGAGACAGAGGCAGACGGATCTCTGTGAGTTCAAGGCCAGCCTGGTCTCCAAATCAAGTTCCAGGAAAGGCGCAAAGCTACACAGAGAAACCCTGTCTTGAAAAAACAAACAAACAAACAAAAACTTGTGTTGATACTGTCTTTGAGATAAGGTCTCCAGCCTCGTGTAGCCTCAAGCTCAGTAGGTAGCCGAGGCTGGACTTGAAGTAGTCCGGTCTCCACCTCCCAGACTGCAGGCCTGTACCACCATGGCAGCATATGCAGATGTGGTTCTCCATGGGGAGGAAGTCTGATCCCTTCTTTTCTCTCTTGGTCCCTTCCAAACCTCGCTGCAGCCACAGAACAACGCCAGGCCTTCCAGCCTTGGCCTGAGCGGCTCAACAACAACGTGGAGGAACTGCTTCAGTCGTCCTTGTCCCTGGGCGGCAAGGAGCAGCAGGGCGGTCACAAGCAAGTGCAGGAGCAGCACAAGCAGGAGCTAGTACAAGATCATAAACAAGAGGACGGGCAGGAGCAGGAGGAGCAGGAGGAGGAAGAGGAGGAGGAGGAGACAAAGCAGGAAGAGGGGCAGGGGACAGAGGAGGGTCTGGAGTCAATGTCCAATCTGCAGTCGTACTCGGAGCCCAAGTTTCAGTCGGAGTCTCTGTCTTCCAACCCTTCCTCCTTTACTCCCCGGGTCCGAGAAGTGGACTCTGCTCCACTGATGATGGAGAACATCCAGGAGCTCATTCGGTCAGCCCAAGAAATGGACGAAATGAATGAACTGTACGATAACTCCTGGAGAAGCCAAAGCACTGGCAGGTACAGGAGATTGTGACCCCCTCATGGGCCCTGCCGTCCCTGCTGCCTTCTTTGGAATTGCGAAGCCCACTTACCAGCTTTGGTCTCCAGACCCACTCAGACCTGCTTAGGCTTCAGGCAGAGCTAGCAATGGCGGGCCCCTCCTGTTCTGTGCTAACCCTTGTTTTAAGCCCCACCCTGGGTTCTGGTCTTATCTCTGGCCTTGATTAGCACTAAAGCCTTCAGAAAGTTATTTCTCCATTTTGTTGTTGTTGTTCTTTCTTTATTTTATTTTTACTTAGGTGTATGTGTGCATGTCTGTGTGTGTGTGTGTGTGTGTGTATATATATATGTGTGTGTATGCACATGTGTGCAGGTGTCCATGGAGGCCAGAAGAGGGCGCCGGATCCCCTGGGACTACAGTAAATGGGTGGTTGTGAGCTACAAGAGTGGGTGCTGGGGACCAGACTTGGGTCTTCTAGAAGAGCAACAACTGCTCTTAACCACTGAGCCATCTCTCCAGCCACTGTTTCTCCATGTTGGACTTCAGTTCCTCATTTGTAAAAGTAGGCAGTTGGTCCAAGGTCCTCTCAGACTGCAGGATGGAAGTCCTCTGCTAAGCATGCTGAATGCATATGACCAAGACCAACTGCTTAGCGGAGGGGAAGAGTAGATGTGGTTTTTCTACCCCACCCCCCCCAGCCCATCCCCACCAGTCTGTACTGTCTTCTTGCAGCCTCCTGCAGCTGCCCCACACGGAGACCATGATGGTGCTATGCTATTCCATTATGGAGAATACCTGCACCATGACTCCCACAGCCAAGGCCTGGAGCTACATGGAGGAGGAGATCCTTGGCTTCGGGGATTCGGTATGTCCACCATGCTATTTAATGGATACATGCCACTGGACATCCCATGGGCCTGGCACTGTGTGAGCCATGGGTGAGGGGGCTGGGCAAGGAAACCATGAGACATAGTTGAAGAGATTCCTTGGAAGGACATCTCCAGCCACCATAGAGGAAGGTTGAAGACCCAGTCTGGAAGCCAGCCTGGTCTTGAATGCATCCTTAAGCTCTTCAAGTTTTCAGCCTGTAAGCCATCCCTTGAATCCCGTTCAGCATCTTCAGTAACTAGCTGCGCCTTAGACTCGGCTCTTTTTCTTTTCAGAAGGTTCATAGAACCTCTTCCTTTTGGGTCTAGTGGTGAAGGCTATAGTCCCGGCTGCTTAGGGGGCTGAAGCAGAAGAGTCACAAGTTCACTCTGTGGAATGGGCAGCAGAGTGAATAGAACTTAGTGAGACCCCGTCTCAAAATAAAAAAGTAAACGGGGCTGAGGATGGAGCTCAGTGGTAGAACACTTGCCTAGCGTGCAGAAGACCCTAGGTTCAATCCCCAGTTCCAAAAAACAATGTGTAACAGAGACCATTTGTATTAGGACTTTCTAAAGAAACAGAGCTGATAGAATGAATATATAGTAAAAGTGGACTTACCAGATTTGCTTACATGATACAGTCCACATAGTCCAACAATGGCTGGAGAGGCTGAGAATCTGGTAGTTGCTTAATCTGTGAGGCTGGACGTCTCAACAGCCCCAGACTGGCGCTGGAGGCCTGAGGATTCCTGCAGAGCTGCTGGTCTTCAGTCTACATTGGAAGCCTGAAGAAGCTTGTTCTAAAATCCGTAAAGGAATGCCGCGTCAGCGTGATAACGGACTTGCCAGCAAGCGTGAAGGCAAGCAGGCGAAAAGCAAAGCCGTCTTCTCCCATCAGTCTGCAGGGTGCTGCCCACATTTAGGATCAGTCTTCCCCCTTCAAATGATCTGGTCAAGAAAATCCCTCCCAGGAGCCCCAGTGGCTTGTTTCTAGTTGATTTCAAATCCAGTCAAGTTGACAACCAAGATTCACCATCAGAAATTCACCCCTTGTCAATTGACACCCAATCTCTTCATGTCATGCTCAATTTCCACATGAAAAAAATGACAATTATAATTCTGCCTACATGTGATATAACTACCCCACATATGATTAAACACATTATTTAAGAATAGGTGGCAAAATCCCTTGAGGAATGCTTAGTGTTTTAGTGTCCCATAATTTACATATGATAATATATATTACAGTACTTAAACACTGATATTATCTCAGTGAGTGTTGCATTACATGATAAAGAAATAGAAGAAAGAAAACAAATGTCTGCTTAATATATGTGTATCTATGCACAAACACGTTCTTAACAAAATAGGACAGGAAACACATCGGTTACAATCCTCATTTCTGTGACTGGTCACATGAACTTAGCTGGTATTTGTAACTACCACCTTCTACTCATTCTGTATTTCCTCCCCTCAGGAAGCACCTCAGAAGGCCTTGGTTCTTTCCCTGGAGGGGTGACCCTTTCCTTTATCCCTGAAGGGTTTGGATCCTGTCATCCTACCTCCATTGGGTTGTTCTAATTTCCCATTGACCTTCATCACCGGGGCATTAACTTAACACCAAGAGATGCCCTAAAGCAGTGGTTCTCAACCTGTGGGTCATGATCCCTTGGGGGGGGGGGGTCGAATATCAGATAACCTGCATATCAGATACTTACATTATGATTCGGAACAGTAGCAAAATTACAGTTATGAAATAGCAACAAAATGATTTTATGATTGAGGGTCACCACAACATGAGGAACTGTATTAAAGGGTCACAGCATTAGGAAGGTTGAGAACAAGAGCCCTAAAGCGTCTTCTGCACGCCAGACATAATCTTCCTTATGTCCACTGTGAAGAAGGAAGCCATTTCCCCCTTGGTAGTCTGGATCAATCACCCCTCCTAAAAATGTATTCCTTTCTTAGCTTGTTGACTTAAAAGTATCATGAGCCCAAAGTGGCCAGGTTGGAAGTCTTAGCTCCTAATGAAATGTAATATTTTTTGTGACTCCTGGTTGGAGTGCTCCCCCTTATGGAACCAAAATTTCTAGGCTAGCAGAGCAGAAAAGTCCAAGGAGCAGGAAAAAAAAATGTTCCTAGTGGGTCACTAGAGGTGATAGTAAGTGGTACCATCCTCAATTCTACGCCTTGATTCCTAGACCATGAATCCTAGCTATAGAAGAAATAATAGTGTATATTGGAGATTGATTCAAAACATATACAGTCTTCTGGAAAACACTCCAGTTCTCTAGGCTACTCCCATCTAATTGGCACTGTAACTGTCTTTTTTTTTTTTTTTTTTTTTTGGTTTTTCGAGACAGGGTTTCTCTGTGTAGCTTTGCGCCTTTCCTGGGACTCACTTGGTAGCCGAGGCTGGCCTTGAACTCACAGAGATCCGCCTGGCTCTGCCTCCCGAGTGCTGGGATTAAAGGCATGCGCCACCACCGCCCGGCGTAACTGTCTTTTAAAAAGCCATTCCTGGATCAATGGCTCAGTGGTTAAGAGTACTGGTTGCCCTCCAAAGGACCCAAGTTTAATTCTTATCACCCATTTGGTGATTCACAACTATCTGTAACTCGAGTTGCAGGGGGATCTGACACCCTCTCTTGGCCTCCAAGGGCACCAAGTGGTGAACAGACATACATACACACAGAGCATCCATACACACAAAACTGAAAAAGTGAAAAGCCCATTCCATCTCTCTATCAAGCCAGCTCTCTTCAGGATGGTAGAAAACCTGGTAAGACCAATGAATTCCATGAGCACAGGCCCCCTGACTACTTCTCTGGCTTAGAAGTGAGTTCCTTGATTGGAAGCAAAGCTGTGTGCAGTACCACGGTGGTGGATAAGGCATTCTGCAAGTCTATGGATGATTTCACCAGAATAATTACGTGCAAGAAAGGAAAATCAATCCTTAAGTATTCAAGTAAGGAAAACACACTGCGCTTTCCACAATGCCACCTGCCATCAGGTGGATAATTGTCACCATGGGGACTGGTGCCATAGTCTGTATTAGGGTTCTCTCAATAAACAGAACCAGTAGAATGGATGGATATATTGAGAGGGGGTTTATTGGATTGGCTTAGACGATGTGGTCTGGGTAGTCCCGCAACGACTGTCTCACACCAGAGAGGCCAAGGATCTGGCCGTTGTTCAATCCATGAGGCTGACGTCTCAGCAGTCCCAATCAGGTACTGAAGCAGGGAAGGTTCCTGGAGAGCAGCAGCTGGTCTTCAGTCTACGTGGGAATCCCAAAGAAGTAGGTTCTAATATCAGTAAGGAATGCATCTTTGAGAGCAGGGGATAGATGGACTTGCCAGCAAGAGTGAAGGCCAGGGAATGAAAAGGAAAACTTCCTTCTCCCATCTCCCTTTCATCTGAGTTCCCATCCTACGTTTAGGGTGGCTCTGCCCACTTCAAAGAGTCTCTTCAAGGGAGTCCCTCACAGGAGTGCCCCGTGGCTTGCCTTCTAGTTGAGTTTAGACCTAGTCAAGTTGACAATCAAGACTACCACCACAGCATTTCAGGGAGTCTGTAAAAAGATTCTGGTTCCAACATTTCTTCCACAATTAGCAAGTCCATGCCCAGAAAGATATGTGCTTTGAAGTGCTCCTTTGCTGTCATTGTTACTATGAGGCAAGGTCTCTGTTGCATAGGCTGATTTGGAGCTTCTAGGCTCAAGTGATCTTCTCAGCCTTGGTAGTCAGTAGCTGGGTGTGCAGGTGCACCCTACCACACACAGTTCCTTGGTTCTGAAACAGTACAATTTAGCAAACAACCACTGAGAGCCAACCTACCATTCATTCATCTGTTTCTTCAACAAACACTGAGTGGGCACCAACTGTCTGCCAGACACCTGGGACGCTGGCTGTGTGCAGAGCAGATTCAATGCTTGCTCGCTCTCGGAACTAATTGGGGAGAACGAGATGGAAAAATAAGGCTGGGGCGTGCTCAGTGGGAGAGTGCTTTCATGTCCAAGGGAGGCACTTGGATTTGATGCGTGGTACAACCAGTGAAGCTGGGCACTGTGCGAAGATCAGCACTGTGAAGGGAACAAGGGGACAGCGCCGAGGAAGCAGGTGGTGTCGTGAACAGGCCACTCTGCACGATTGCAATGATCAGAGAATGTTCTTAGGGGAACTGGAGTCTAAACTGAGACCTGCAGGCCGTTAACAAGGCAAAGGGAGGGCCCGCCGCCGCTACCGCAGGGTTCTTAGTAGAGGGGGCGGTACGCACGAAGGCTCTGCAGAAAGCAAGACCTGAAAGTTCGTGAGGAGCTCAGAATGAACACATTTTCTGGCCAGAAGGAGCTTGAGCCTGACGCGGGAGGTTCGTGTGGAGTCCGCAGTACTACTAAAGGTTGTGCTGGAGAGACGTTTTTTAGAAACATGTGAATTCAGAGGTCATAGACTCAGGGTAGTATGTTTGGATAAGGGAACAGAGTCCATTTTACTGAGCACCTAGTAGCAGAAGATAGAGTCAAAAGATAGAGTGGAAAGTCTGGATGCCACCTGAGGCATTTAATGTTGCAGGAAAGGGAAAACTCATAAAGGGTTGGGGTCAGGGTCATGCTGCTATCTCCCTTGCCAGCTGCTGCAGGGTAAGCAGGGGCTGAGAAGGAGCCCACACCCTGTTTCAGGCTGCGCCTTGGGTGATGGTGGGATTCCCTGAAGGTGTGCTTGGCCCAGATGTTTCTGGTTATGCTGATGACACTCATTCAGGACCAGCACTCAGCTGGGAGATGGGTAACCCCACTCTGAAAGAGCTTACAGGACCTGGCAGGTTTGGAACTAGGCATTTGATGGAGAGTGGGTCTGAGAGATGGAAAGACCTGGATCCATGTCCAGCTTTGAGCAATGTTCTTAACTGCCTGGAGCCTTGCTCTCCCCATGAGTAAGTGCCAATGTTATTTGTTAGTACTTATGGGCTTAATGACGTCTATTTGGTGTTTTTGACTTTGAGACAGTGCCTTACCGTGTAGACCAGGCTGGCCTGGAACTCAGAGACCCACTTGCCAATGCCTCCAGAGTGCTGCGATTAAAGACATGTGCCACCGTGCCTGACTGGGTTTTTTATTTTGTTTTTAAAGAAAGGATCTCTGTAGGCCAAGCTGGTCTGGAACTTGAGGATTTTGAACTCCTGATCCTCCTGCCTCTGCCTCCCAAGAGGGTAAATCCCTGATTGCTTATTTTTTTTTTAGGCAGTGTCTTACCAAGTAGTTTAGGCAGGACTCAATTTTATGATGTCCCTGCCTCTGCTGGCCAGCGCTGTCACCTCTGCAAATAGGATTTGCACTGTCATTAATGGAATAGAGAAGAGAATTACAGTCCTTCTCAGGTTGCTTAAGCAAGGACGAGTCCCTTCCCCCATGTAAGATGCCTGTGAGTTACCTCGCAAGGAGAATTTGGAGCTTGGGGAAGAAATCAGAGCTGGTAATAAAGATGAGGATGCCACCTGCAGATGAAGTTTACTTGAGAGCTGAGGGGAGGTCCCTGAGGGAGTCTTAGGAAGGAGGACAGGGCAGAAAAGCCCAGCAAAAGGCCTTAGGACAAAAACGTCAACCATCATGCTGTGTGCTCTGGGAGCCTGCCACGACTCAGCCTCTCACTCAAACCCCTGTCCCAGGTCTGTGACAGTCTTGGACGGCGACACACAGCTGCCTGTCCCCTCTGTGCGTTCTGCTCCCTGAAGCTGGAGCAGTGCCATGCTGAGAGCAACGTGCTGAGGCAGCACTGTGATGCTTCCCACAAGATACCCTTCATCAGCCCCTTCCTCTCATCCCAGAGCATATCCACCGGCAACCAGGTACCTCAACCGGGAAGCCTGCGGTGGGAAAGCTGAAGGGAGCATGGGAAGGCGGCCTGGGGGTGGAGAGGCCTGTGCCTCTCACATGTCTCGTGTCCACAGGCGAGGATCCCAGACAAAGGCCGCTTTGGTGGGCTAGATATGTACGGAGGGCTCAGCTCTGACTTCTGGTGTAACCGGCTTGCCATGAAGGGCTGTGAAGATGAACGAGTCTCCAAATGGCTCAAGGCTGAGTTCCTAAGCTTCCAGGATGGGGACCTCCCCACGAAGGTCAGACTCTCTCCTTCAACCTTAGCCCCCTCGGCCACTCCCAGTTCTTCCTAGGTACTTGTTCTGGAAAGCCTGAGCTTGCGACCCTGGCTCTGAGACCCAGTCCATAGTGGTCTCCTACCATTCTTCCAATGGACCCTTCCCCCAGTAAATGAGGGTCACACTCAGCAAAGCAGTAGGAACCCTGTCCCAGGAGAAGGCTGCAGACTGGGAGGTGAGATGGAGATAGAGGTTCTAGCCCTGGCTCAGCCAGTCATTTGCTGAGTGGCATTGGTCAAGTCACTGCAGGCCCAAGTTCTCCTCACTGCTACAGTCAAAGCCTCGACTCTGCCCAGCCCTGTGGAACTTGCCTCCCTAGCTCAGCCTGAAGCCTTCTCCCCGTCTTTTCCAGTGCTTTCCCCATCAATAAAATCAGCACACTTCCTCTCACCCCCAAATTACCACCTCCGAGTTGTTGGTCAACTATGGTTGCTGAGAGCGGGTCCCTATCCCACTCCACGGTTTGAGAGCAGACAAGGTCCACAGGAGAATGATTGACCCACTGTCCCTTATCAGAGTGCCTTGGGCCTTCCGCCCATCATCAACAGGCTTCCTGATAACTGGACCACGAGCTGGGTCCCCTTCCTGTGTTCTATATACTCTCACCTCTGTGTGTGTGTGTGTGTGTGTGTGTGTGTGTGTGTGTGTATGTGTATGTGTCTGTGTGTGTGTGTATGTGTGTGTGTGTGTGTGTGTGTGTGTGTGTGTGTGTGTGTGTGTGTATGTGTATGTGTCTGTGTGTGTGTGTATGTGTGTTGCTAGGCATGGCACCCAGGGCCTATGTGTACTAAGCAAGCCCTTGGCCACTCATGCACTGGACCCTTAACTACCTCCTTCTATACCCCCAATCAGCTGGCCAGTAGGGCACTCCTGATTCCCCTTACCACCTGGCCGCTTCCCAGGAACCCAGCACTGAGGGTGGGAGAAGGAAAAAGGAGGTACAGTGGGGTGCACCCCAGCTGTGTGAGGCCCTGGCCCACCAGGACTGCCATGACCCTTAATGGAGAGAGTGGTGTCCCGTCAGGGTTTTGATACTCTGTCCCTCTCCCTGGCTCCTGGTGTAGATTTGTGACACAGACTATGTCCAGTACCCAAACTACTGTTCCTTCAAAAGCCAACAGTGCCTGATGAAAAACCAGAACCGGAAGGTGAGCCCCTACCCTGTCCTCACCCCTTACCAGTCCCAGACCCTCCTGGGAGGGTCTGTTCTGAGCCCTTCTCTTCCAGAAGCTGGGCTGTGGAAACAGTTCCCTGTCTGCATCTGTGAGGCAGAGACCTCTACATGGTGCCTCCTCCTCTTCCTAGTCTGGAGTGAGTCAGGCCCTCTCAGACAGGAGTGGGCAGGGGAGGTACAGAAAGGAGGGATGGGCCCTGAGGACCCAGCGGGAGACCCTTAGCTGGCCTGAAAACGGGATGTTGAGTTTCAGCCTCCCAGCCTTACTCATCAGGTAACCTACTACGGTAAGTTGCTTCCTGTCTGAGTCTAGGCCGCCTCCGTCTTAAAGGAGGTTGAACTGTTGAAACCCCACCTGCATTCCTTTCTGCCCTCTAGCACCTGCCCCTGGTTCTGATTCCTCCTCACTTCATGCTCCATACACACATGATGCTTTTGTAGGTGTACCGCATGAGATGTATGATGAACGAGAACTACAACGTGCTGAGCCCGGCTAAAAGTGAGGAGGTTATCCTCCGGTGGAACCAAGAGTTTAACACTCTGGCTCTAGGCCAGTTTGGATGAGCTGGGGTCTGTGATGTCCCCACCCCGGCCCTGCCTCTCCACTGCTTTCTCCATCGCTCTCAGACCTCACCTGTCAGTCGGCCTCCAGGTGCCCCTCACAGGCCTCTGACCTGGCCCCTGCTCACATTTCCCTTGGGTTGGGACAGCAGTCCCAGAGAGGTCCGTGATGGGAGCTGCATGTGCCCTGAAGAATACCTTCAAATAAAATGTTTCTCTTCAGCCCATGGGCTCTGTTTAGTGCGATCCCCACCCTCAGCACCGCCACCTCACTCCTAGAAATTTACTTCCAGACTCCCATTCGCAGGAGAACTTCCTGGGAACGGCACCGAGGAAGCATCCTGCCCCACGAGAAGCCGCAGGCCTAAGTGGTCAAGGAGTTGCACTGAAAGGGCTGTGACTGATCCGGGCGGTGGTGGCGCACGCCTTTAATCCCAGCACTCGGGAGGCAGAGCCAGGCATGTCTCTGTGAGTTCGAGGCCAGCCTGGTCTACAGATCGAGATCCAGGACAGGCACCAAAACTACCCAGAGAAACCCTGTCTCGGAAAAAAAAAAGGGGGGGGGGGGGCTGTGACGGAGATTGCAGGGGTGGAAAGGGCCGAGAGGGTATGCTGGCCTTCATCTCTGAGTTCACGTGTCAGTATGTGATTCTCAAGGCCAAAGCCGGAAAGTACGTCAACCCCAGAAGGTATGACATAGCTTGTAGCTTGTACTTCCCTCTTCGAGGAGGGAGAAACTGAAACGACATCCCGGAGCTCAGAAGCCCTGGGCGTACAAGCTTTGCCAGATGGTCTGAATGATGGGCACCTTCAAGTGTCCCTTTGGCACTGGCCTGGAATAATTTGGACACTCACAGGGCAGTACAGCTGGAGACGCTGTAGAGTCCCTTCTGTGGGCTAACAGTCATCAACAGCATTTGAATTGGCACAGACAGAACTTGGGCTTGGGGCTGTAGCTCACTTGGCAGAGTGCTTGCCTAGCGTGGACAAGGCCCTGGGCTCCAGGGGGCATAGTGGGGCATGCTTTAATCCGAGTGCAGTCTGGAGGATATGAAATTCAGCATCAGCCGTGGCTGCATAGATTGAGATCAACTTGGGCTACATGAGAACCTATTTCCCAAAGTGGGAGGGGCGGTAGTTGTGGGGGACTAGAGAGATTGCTTAGCAAATAAAAGCATTTGCTGAGCAGGCCTGGTGCCTTAAATTCAATCCCCAAAACCCATGTAAAAGGCAGAAGGAGAGAGCCAACTCCACAATGTTGACACAGGTACTATGGCATGATTACACATGCCCACATATATCACACACACACACACATCACATCACATCACATCACATCACATCACATACATACCTTCATAAATCAAAAACATTTTCAAAAACCAAAAAACTGTGTGGTGGCATATTCCTGTAATCCCAGCACTTGAGAGGTAGAGACAGGCCAGCCTGGGCTACATGCTGGGTGTGGTGATGCACATTCTTAACCACTAGCACTGAGGAGACAGAAACTAGGTGGCCAGCCTACTCTACATAGCAAGTTCCAGGACAGCGAGATGTATATAATAGAGAGACCTAGTCTCAAAAAAACCAAACTAACAGAATTAGAGGCATAGAGAGAAGGCTCAGTGGTTAAGGATACTTCCTGCTCTTGCAGAAAACCCAGATTTGGTTCCCAGCACCCATGTCTGGTAGCTCACAACCATCTGTAACTCCAATTTCAGAAGATCTAATGCTATCTTCCAGCCTTCACAAGCACCTGCATGTGCCTTGAACACATAGACACACTCAAGCACACACATATAAAAATATCTTAAATTTATTTTTTATTTTAATTAAAATTTAATTATTTAATTTTCCCCTTCCTGTTCCTCTCTCCAATTCCTCCCATGTTCTCTCCTCACTCCCTCTCAAATTAATGGCTTTTTTCTTTGACTATTATTGTCACACACACACACACACACACACACACACACACACACACACACACACAAGCTGCTGAGTCCATTTCGGGTTGCTTGTGTGTATATAGTTTCGGGGCTGACTATTTGGCATTGGTTAAGTAATTAAGGGGCTCATCCCGGGGAAAGACTAATTCTTCCTCTCTCAGCAGTCCTTAGTGGCCAGCAGTTCTTTGACTAGAGATGGGGCTCCTAGTGGGCATTCCCTTGGTGTTGTTATTGTTCAGATCTTGTTTAGGCAGCCATCATTGCTGAGGTACCACAGGTGACGTTTCCCTGTCATTTCTAGGAGAGACACTCTCACATTGGACTTCCTGTTCCTCTGGTTCTTACAGTCTTTCTGCCCCTCTTCCAGATGTTCCCTGAACCTTAGATGCAGGAGGTAGGTGTATTGTAGCTGTATCCTTTGGGGCTGGGCTCACCAGCATCGATCCATCTTTGCATTGTCATCAATGTGGTTTTCTGTAGCATCAAATTTCTTTAGAAAAAAAAATTTAAGAGATTGCCAGTCATGGTGGTGTACACCTTTAACACCAGCACTCAGGAAGCAGAGGCAGGAGGATCTCTGTGAGTTCAAGGCTAGCCTGGTCTACATAGTGAATTCTAAGCTAGTCAGAGATACATAATGAAACCTGTCTCAAAAAAAGAAAACAGAAAGTTGAAACATGCCCCAAATAGCAGATCTGGGTGTGGTTTAGTGGAAGAGCACCTGCTAACATGCAGATGAGATTCTAGATTCAATCCTCAGGAAAGAAAAAATACAATTAGTATAATGCACCCTCAACCAGCTGGAGCAATCAACCCATGGCTTATCATTCAGCAGAATGCTAATGCTGCATTTTGCCTAGTGTTCGCCAAACTCATTTAACCATAATACCTTTTCCAGCTACCTCCCAAAAAAAAAAAAAAAAAAATCCCTGCCTTTGCTTATGTAGTGAAGGGCTGTGCTCAGCCCAAAAATGCAGACAGGAACCACCATAGGCTCCCTGCCTCCAGGAGTTCCTAGCCTGAGACAGAGGGAGAGGAGGAAGCATCCAGACAGGCTACCGCTTTGATGGAGGAACTGGATGTGTGCTGGCAGGGAGGGAGAGCACTTGGCATGCCCATGAGCCCCAGGCAGGGGAAGATACAACCACGAGCCACATGAACTAAACCACCTAGCTGACCCAAGAGAGGAAGAGGGACAGGCAGGGAGGAGACAGGTGAGAGCAGCATGGGGGGGTGGGGGGTTAGTCATCAGGCATCCATGGGTAGGTGTGTCACCTAGAGTTCCCGGAAACTGCAACTCTATGAGCCATAGTTGGGGAGCTGAGTGACTAGAGTTAGGGCTGGGTTTTCATCAGCTCTTGGGACTTGCTTCTCGGACCTCTTTATGAAGGTACCTGTGGTCAAGGCTTTGCTCCTTTTTGACTCTGTGGGGTTGGGTGAGTGCACAGGGCTGGGAGGGATATACTGAGATCTGTGAGGTGGGTGTGTCAGGCCCGCCCAGGAGCAGGTCCTACCAGCACAGCTCAGCCCAGCCCAGAGTGTCAGCGGAAGCAGTCTTGGGGCAGCGGCAGAGGAAGAGCCACAGAGCACAGGTATGGGGGTGTGATGCGTGGGGCTGCCACCAGAAATGCGGGACACTGGTGAGGATGGAGAATATGGGTGGGCCATAGGCTCTGGGGAACCCTTTTGGATAAAGTGAAAAGGAAAACGGGGCTGCCCGCTGTGGACAGATCTTTCCTTAGGGAGCCTGAAAAGGCAGCTGACATGCCTGACACCCCTGAAGGTCTGAAGCCCCGCTGTGCGCCACCTTAGGGTCTTCCTCTAAAACTTTAGGCTCCTGCTCTCATGTTGACCCTGAACTCTCTGAGGAGAGCTCTGAGGTCTGCTCCCCTGCAGGGCCAGGTCCTAACCTGGAAGAGCCGAACTGATTAAAGTTGGCTAATGAGCTGATTGGGAAAGATAGTCCTCCCTGGCCACCAAGGTGTGCTTTGTTTGGTTATTTGGTGCTGGGGATGGAATGAGTATACGTTAAGTATGGCCTGATCCCTCTCCCTCTCCCTCTGGAGTTCAGGGATTACAGCCATGGACCACCACACCAGATTTCTGCAAGTGCAGGTGGTTGGCCCCAGAGCATACATCCCCAGGCTCCTGACCCTTTGGGGGAGTGAAATCTCATGCTTTCTAGGACGGTTTCCTAACCTCAAAGGACCCCCTATCCTATCAGCTTCCCTGATAGGTGGAACTACATGAGTGTGCCATGATGCTCAGATCTACTTAATTTATTTTTTTGCTGTGCCAGAGATTAAGTCCAGAGCCTTGTGAATGCTAGAAATCTTTCTGCCACTGAGCTACCCCCAGCCCTTCCAGCTATATTTCAATGGGTCTTGAGGATGCGCCACCCCAGCCTGAGATGCTGTAATAGAAGGGTGTTGGGCTGTACGGTCTCTCTGTCCCCAAGGTTTTGACAGAATATGACTGATGAGTAGCATAAAGGGGGTGGGGGGGGGATGAGCCATTGTGCATGTGGGGGAACCTGTGGAAGGCTGTCTGGGACCTTTGCCATACTTGTGCAGGCCACTGCCTGCCTGCTGCCTATGGTTTGGGGGGCTCAATGACAAGAAAGGGACTCACAGACTCATCCTTCCAGAACGCTTCATTTATGGTAAACTGAAGTCATAGCCCTGGGGGCAAGGAATGTGACAGTGAACCTCACCTCCCAAACAACCAGCGACACTAGAGGCCAGCTCAGTCTGTGCTGTCTGATGCCGCCAGCTCTCACCACCCTACTCCTCCCAGTGTGCACCCCATTGACACAGAGACCTCTTATGTCCAAGGTCATAATAACAAAATAATAATAATAATAATAATTACTACTACTACTAATAATAATAGTAATAATAAGCCAAGGAGGAGACAACAGAAGAGGGGAGAGCTGATGGGAATATCGCTGTAGCTGGGAAGCAAAGTGCTTGCCTAGTGTGCACAAGGCTCTGGGTTCATCTCCAGCATCAAAAACAAAGGGTGTGGGCCTCTGAGGCTGGTGGTATGATGGAAGTTCAGAGTAAGGTCAGCCAGCCTAAAAGGCTCCAGGAGGTTGTTCAGAAGAGGCAGGACCTGTCGGGCCTGAAGCAAGGGTAAAACGCACACAGGGCACAGGTCAGCGTGGGGCTGAGCCTATGGCAGTGACTTTTGGGGGGTTGGGACTTTCCTGTTTTTCTAGCTTTGGAAGGTAGGGTGGAGGGAGAGGCGGGTAAGCTGTCATCTACACATCAGGGAAATGAATTATTGAGCTCTGGGCCACCTTTGACTTCTGTCTTTCCCAGAAAAACATGGTGAAGGATGGTCATATCCCCAACACTCTGGAGCCTGAGGCAGGAGAATTGTCATGAATTCCAAGTCAGCCAGAGATACGTTGTGAGATCTATCTCAAGGAGAAAGGAAGAAAGGGGTGAGGAAGGGGAACCCACTGAGGAGAGCTGGACAGGGGCAGGGAGGGAGAGCGCTGTGCCCGGGAGGGAGACTGAGGCTGACGATAATGTTGGAAGGGCAGAGAGAGAAAGGCTTTGGTGGAGAGAGGACAAGCTGGGCGGCCTTGGGCAGCGAGAAGACAGGACCCCAGTGACGAGGCAGGATACCTGGGCCTGAAGTCAAGGGATGCCTATCTCTGTGACCTGGGCTACAGGAGGCCTCTTCGGTCTTTCTGATGACCCCTGACTCTATCTCCTTCTAGGCTGGGTGACCTCACTTTGAACTCCCCACACCACAGCCCTTCTCATCTTTTCCCTGGCCCTCAGTCTCAGGAGAAGCTGACTAGCAGGATTAACCTGTGCACAGGAAGGGCTGGAAGACGCCTTTGAGTTTAGCTTTGTTTTGAGAGAAAGTCTTACCATAACCTGTCAGGGGAGAGATGCACCTGCTGCCTCCCACCGCACCCCCACCTCGAACAGAAGCAGAGAGGAAGAACTGGCCCCTCAGACACTTAGAAAGAGGAATGCTATTTCCTGTGTTTTGGCTGAGAAATGACCTGAGGCTATCCCAGAGATAATCGTGGGCACAAAGACCTGAATTTTGGCCCTGTGGAGAAGGCAGAAAGATGTGAATTGGTGATGGGAGCAAGGCATCTGTTGCCCGGGTGAGAGGCAAGGTGGGGGAACAGAGAGACAGTGATGGGCAGCCTCTTCCTGTCTTCACTGTGGAGTCTGCAGCCTGCAGCGATCTTCCGCATTGTTGACTGCATGCTGGGGGAGGATGGCCCCTTGGGCAGAGCATGGGGAGCCGCGTGGAGCGTGGAGCAGCAATCATGAGCTAGCCTCCTGCACACTTTACTCTGGGTTCTTACTTCCTGCCCGTGGCAGAAAATAGCCCTGCCCCTCTCTCTTATCTCAGCTAAGAGCAGCACCCTGCCCAGCTCAGAGGGCAGTGGGACAGGTTCCAGAGGTCCTGAGGAGGTAAGGAACGTGGGCCCCAGATGCGCACACGGGATCCCAAAAACAGAGACACCTTGAGCAACTGGCCTGCTCTGATTTGAGCAGGGTAAGGGTGGAAAGCATTATGCCTCTGGTTCCTCTATGTGGATCGTGGTTTCTTTGGCTCTCCATGCCTGTGGGCTGAGGTATTTCTGCATACATCTGGATGAGCATGTGCTTACGAAGGAACCTGGCTCTCTGTGCATCTGTTTAAGATTTTCCCTAAGGCAGGGGACAGGGCTTCTCTTTCTTCTCTGGCCCATGTGGCTCTGCAAATGTAACAGCATGTACAGACACTGATTTGTATGCTAATGTATGCATGCCTCCGTGTGTCTGTGTATGAAAATGTGTGTCATGATGTGCTTATGTGACATCAGTGAGTGTCCATGTTACCAAGCTGTGTAAGCCTCCATGGCCCTCCTAGCTGGTGAAACGAAACTCCACTGTTCCTTCTTTTTGGAGGTAGCTGCTACGTCGATTTTTTTTCCATCTCCCCCCAAGCCTGGCCTCTTCAGGCAGAATTGGGGAGAGGGTCTGTGTTACCTCTCCCCCACACCTAAACCCCTGTTTCCATTTCCTGTTTGCCTCCTCTTTGGCAGTTTTTCCTGTCTTTACCATCTGGCCCGGCACTGGGCCCATACAGCTCCTGAGCCAGGAGCCTGGCAAGGGCTCAGCGAAGGAGCGGAATGGGGTACGGGGCCAGGCAGGGACCTTGGCAGCTTGGCCTTTCTCTCTACTAGAAAGAGGTAGCTTTTTCACTGTAAAGAAACCCAAGAACTTCTCTTTGGAATGGGGTAATGAGACCATCACCATTTCCCTTTAAGTAGCAGCTCAAATAGTCTTTCGCATTCTGATTTACTTAAACTTTGAAACTTGTTTTAGCGGAAAGACTTGACATTCTTGGAAAAGAACGCATTTCTGCACTCAG